GTCTTTAAATCCCCTGCCAAGCTAATTCCTGCATACGCCAGAAAGAGGGCTGTTGGTTTGAGCATTGTAGTTAACTGACTGGGCAGATAAAAGCAGAGCAGGAAATTACATGCCTGTAGTTCTGTTCTCTTGAAAACACCACTCAGTAGTCTTAGCCGTGAGATGTGTAACCCAAATTGGAATTGCCTAGTTTTGAAAAATTTGCCTGGAGTGAAGGTGGATGGGGAGGAAAAGAAGAGGCGTTGTCTCATGCTAGGACACTTCATGTTTTATGCTAACTAGCAAAAGTGTCTAAACGTTTGCTCATGCCTTGCAGAGGCGGTTCTGCCTCTTGCACCTGTGTTCCCGCTTCCATGCTCCAACCTTTTCTTGTGCAGATAGACTTTTGTACTGGCTTAAGTCAGGAAAGATAAAAAGGAGAATGTAACTTGTTTCTTTTCCTGCTGTGGTTTGTGGTAGGGACACACAAGTCGCATGACAAGCCAAGACGGCAGGAGCCAGTGCAAATGGGGAGAGAGCACTTGTTCTTTGTGAGGGCCTGCATCTAGTAGCCTGAACCATTTGTGAAAAACATTTTCTAAGGCTGTGTTTTATATCCAGTATTAAAAATACTGAGATTCTTATGTCAGCGTAAATCCTAGAAGAGGAAGACCAGTGCAGTGCTAGTGTCTATATTTAACAAATAGTTAAGTGAGATTACTATTGCTTTATAGCTCTTGGAAATTTACAGTTACAATTAAGAAGCCAACCTGAGTGCAAAATGAAGGAATCTAGTAACACTTAAATTTTGGCAATCAATATCCAAAGACATACAGTTGTATCCCAGACCTTACAGCCAAAATATCTTGCAACCACAGAACACATAATTTCACTGCTGAGTTTGTGGCCCATATCCCATATTGATGGTATTTTTGTTCCAGAAAATCAGGCTGTGTTGACTATAACAGAGGAGAAGTAGAGAACAAGATTTTAAAGTATTTTTCTTTCACAGCAGACATGATGTACCTTCTAGTCCTGCTAGTGATAGTTCCTTCACTAATAGTAGCTATATGCATCTGGAAGATGAAGTGGTAAGTTACAATGCATTTTATTTCTGTAGCCAGAGAATGCAACTGCTGTAATTTACAAGCTGCAGCTGCTGCTTGTTGCTCCCAGCCTGTTGTAAGGCCCCATTCATTTTTCCTTTGACTGCCTGCCTATGTGGACATTGGAAATATTTGGCTTGCAGCATTTCTGAGACGCTCATCATTTACATCTGTTCCTGTACACATCTGTATGTTGCTTCTGCTGGTAGAATGTGCTTTGATAAGAAAACAAAACTGACTTGTTTTGCTGTCTTATTTCCAGGGTGAAGGAGTGCTGCTGTCCTGTAATACCTACTCCTAACAAAAGCAAAGTGCTGTCTTTCAAAGAGTTTAAGGTAAGGTCACTGAACATCTATTATTTTTAATTTTTCCATTCTTGATTAGTGGAGGTTTTCCTTTGATGGCTGCATACAAAATGAGTGATATTCATTATACAGAAATTAATATAACTTAATATCATAATTTACTGATCAGTTTATATGCTTCAGTCTGTTACTGTAAAAAGTGAAAGTAAAAACATAGCATAGTCTGAGTTGGAATGGACCCACAAGAGTTACTGAGTCCAACTCCTGGCTCTACACAGGACCACCCAAAAATCAGACCCTATGTCTGAGAACATTGTCCATACGCTTCTTGAACTCCAGCAGCTCAGTGCCGTGCCCACTGCCCTGGGGAATCTGTCCCAGTGCCCGACCACCCTCTGGGTGCAGACCCTTTCCCTAACCCCCAGCCTGACCCTCCCCTGTCCCAGCTCTATGTCAGTCCCTCGGGTACTGTTGCTGTCCCTGCAGGCAAATCAGAGCCTGCCATCATACAAATCAAACAGTGAATTAAATCTTTTGGTAGAGTAGGTGCTTCTTCAGTATTACTGTTCAAAACACAGTACTCTCTGAACTCAGCAGACCATACTGCATTATGGTGCACTTTGCTGTGTGCAGCCTGTGAATGCTGTCCATCCTGCTGCCTGTGTCACCTACTGTAAGGCACAGGAGAGCGTGGTAATTGATCCACTTGAGGGTCCTTGGGAGAATCTGCCAGGCATTGACAGATCTGGCAGTGAAAAAAGAGCAGAAGGCCATCATCTTCCCCTGCAGGCCCTTGAGCCAGGAGCTGCTGCCTCAACACCATGTGTAAAATAAGAGTAACAAAAGGATGACTGCGTCTCACCGTAGCAAGTGTGGTGGCTGCTGCTGCTATTTATTCCACACAATGGGAGAAGTCTAAAACTTAAGCCATAGGCTGCTGCCTTCCCATTGTTTCACACTTCAAAACTGCACAGATAAAAACACTGAGGAAGTCTTTAAAATAGAGGGACATCATAGAATCATCTAGATTGGAAAAATTTTATTAAGTTCAACCATTAGCCTGGCCTGCTGTGTGCCATCACTAAACCCCATCCCTTCACTGTCATGGACGTGTCTCATAAATGCCTCCAGGGCTGGGAACTCTGCCACTTCCCTAGGCAGCACATTTGAATGATGTTTCCCTTCTGTATCAGAAATACTCTGATAAATTTCACATAAAATACATCTTCCATTAAACGTTTTGTACAGATTTTCCATTATGTTGGTTTATATGAAAAATCCAAACTCAAAAAATCTATAAGGTAATTTTAGAAGTGCTTGAAGTTATTACTCACTTTCCTTTACTCTGGACTTCTTTCATTGAATAATTTTTGTTATGTTTCTCCTGTAGATTGGGTCTGAGAAAGTTCTAAAAATAAGTGACTGCACTCCTGACACCCTAGCAGTGGATAGTAAGGTCGAAGCCCAGAAATTACATCTACAGAGCCTAATGCCTTCAACGCCAACAGAAGATAAGACTGACGTCCACAATTCTTCCTGGGATTATCATAATGAAAATGAAAACGAAAATGAAAAGAGGAACTTTACATCCACACCTACACCTCAGACTCATACTTGGTTTGAAAATTTGGCTTATTCTTCTCATCTTGCAGTTGAATCTGACCCCTATCAATTGCCAGAGACACTAGAAACCAGCAAGGCAGAAGTGTCAGCAGTGCCGTACCAGCCCCAGTACTACCTCAGTATTTTGAATGATGATGCTCCCTCATCACCCGGAGAGGCAGCTGGCAGGAAGACCAGTTTGAGATATATTTCACAAACAGATGTACATTGCATTGGGAGGAGGCTTTGATGTACCCTCTTTGATCGTCTGTCCAATGTTTGGGTTACAAAACGGAAACAGGAATTTCTGAAACCACTGCAGCTTCTCTTTTTGACAGAGGCTTTCACAAGCCCAGATGCCTTACTTCTGTTGACTGTTCAAAGCTGTTGGTTCAGGACTAGTTCAAAAACACTGACTCTGCACTGGAATGATGCATACTATAGTTTGAACACAAATTACTGTTATAATGTAAAATTTGCAAGCCAATATTGCATGGCCTATAACAAGCAGAGGGCACCATTGTTCTAGCAGAGCAGCTGTTTGCAGAGGTGTTACTGAGGCACATAACCTTTTCCAGCATTAACCCTTGCACTTAGCAAACTCCAGACAACAAGGTAAGCAGACATAGTAGTCATATGCAAACATATATCAATCCCCTTTCCAAAGAACATCATATGCAGGATTCATATCAGCTAGATCTTCCACTGCTATGTATGCATGTTTAACAAAAAACAAAAACAAAAAAACTTCCTCTAGCTAGCACTGAAGGACATGCTAGTTGTAATTTCAAAACTTACCAGAACATTCACTTTTTATCTTGCAGCATTTGTAGAAAAGGAGTTGAATACCACAGATTTCTTATAACTCCCAGAATCCACACAGTAGGCTGAGGTAAACTTGGTCTTCCAATTCTGATTTTTAAAAACTGTACATTTCTAATGAAGCAACCTAGATAGTATTGTATCTGAAAAACCTTCATTTCAAAAAAGAAGCATTAAAAAAGGCTTGAAAGATATTCTGTATCAAGAACTACATGTGTAAGGAATTCTGATACAGAAACTTCACTCAAGAAGTCAGATTAAATTTCATTTTAAATTTCAGCATGGTGCAGGTTAGTCATGCCAGAGGGGATAGCTCTAACAAGGCATGATTTCCTACATCTGAGCTGCTGTAGCTTGGCTGCAGTAATTCAGCAGAGGAAGCAAGCAGAAGGGATACTGGGGGTGGAGGTAAAGCAGCCAGCACTGCCTTCATGGTGCAGTGAGACACTGTGGCCTCTCAGGAGTTCCCATCTCAGCTCCAGCAGAGGTGGCTCTCCTGGTCATTCCCAGGGAGATTCTCCACTGAAGGCATTTTATAATCTGGAGGCAAGGCAATGGTTTACTAGGTACTGCTCTGCTTGGAGACATGAAGAAGTTACCTCCTCTTTATCTATAAAACCTTCTGCATGCTGGGCCTGATGGCTGCTGATTCTTGAAACTGCCTGTGCTGTAAAATACAGGAACAAACTGTTCCAAGGGGGATAAAGCCTTTGTGCAGGTTAAAGGGGGCAGTCAGGGCACTAGCACTAACAATTACAAAAATATTTCTGACGTAAGGGTAGAGAGGCATATATTTTTTGTTTCTTTTAAAGACCTGTCTTGTATTAGTGCTTGAAAATGAGCTAAAAATGAAACAAGGTATAAAGTTTTGTGTTGTTTATAATTCAACTTTCACAGCTGTTGTTGAAATGCTGACACTTAAAATGTATGAAAATCACAATGGAAAGTAACTCAGTCTCTATTAGTACTCAAAATTTTTAAATAAATGCGGTGTACAAACTATCAGAGTCCCCTTCTCTTTTTAGAAGACATCTTACAAAGTAATAATGTAATGTATACTTTTGACAAAAAAACGTTTATTTGGAAAGCTTCAGGTTGTTCTAGTTAGTTAGCAACTTACAAATATAAATAAAGTTTCAACTCATTCCTAGTGCTGAGAGGTACATAGGAGACCAGAACAACTATAAGAAGTTTAAGTACATTTTATTAACAATGCATCCCTTTGATAAGATTACGCTTCAGAAGGCTTTTAATGCCCATAGACATGAACTGTACACACTATACAAAAAAAAACACAAAAAAATCAAGGTGGGCAATACCATTTTGGGACAAGCCTCTGTTTAAATTATACACAGCTCAATGCAATATTCTTACGGAAAATATATAAATACTTTTTCTTTCTATGTTACAGGTATACAATATAAATCAGATTTCAATGTCTGTTCAGTGACCTACAAACACTAGAACCTCCCAATACGTAGCAGCGTATTACTAAATAAAAAAAGACAATGTGGAACAGGGAGAATAAGTTTTGAGAGTTTCCTTGATCCCCACCTCTCCTTAGAATGATTAATTTACATAATCTCTTGTAATGCAGTTTTAGGGATGCTGACAGCCCAGTAAAGGAACAATTTTTCAATTAAATCTATAAAACATCTGCCTTTACTTCCTAAGACATTGCATCTTGTGCTGAAACAACCTATTCAGTGGTGAAATGGCATGTTACACTTTTTGGCATAAATTACATTTCTCAAATTAAATAGTGTATTTTACAAAGCAATTCAAGCAAAATGTGCAATTTCTGCATGCTGTGGCATTGCTATCAACCTATGTTACAAAAATAATCCAAGGAAAATCCACATTCTTTAATTGAAAACAACTATCCAGGGAACCAGAACTGAGTTAGACAAAAAAAAAAAAAGATAGGAGCTTCTACCAAGATACAAATGTGTTTTCTAGCATGTTCCCAAAAGGTCTTTTATAGTTCTCAGATTTTACCCTCACCTTGTACACACCTTTAAAATGCACATGATAGCAGTAGATAGAACTTAAAGGTAAAAAAGTTAGAAGCTTTCAACTGGCTCCACAGCAAAGCACCCAGTAACAGGACTGTGGTGCAGCCCTGTGGGAGGAGAACAGAGAGCTTGGAACTGCTCCAAAGCCTGGCCTAAATTCCTACACCTCAACTCCTCAGCTTGAGCTCATATTCACGAGCTGACATAAGATTCCTGAAGTCCAAAAAACCAGATACCATGACAAGAACATAGACTAAGAAGCAGGAACAACTCTGATCTCTTGCTGGGCTTTAATTATCTACCCTTTTGAAACATTTCTCAAAATAGCTACCCTTCTCTTCAGGCACTGTGAATCAGTGATGGTGCTATACTTTTTTCATCTTCTCACTGCAAATTAGAACTCTCTCATTCAAGACATGGTTAAAACATAACAAAAAGATGAGTGGTACTCTTGCTCCTTTTAAAATGTTTATAAGGCAGCTTACCTAAGTGTGCCACCCTTAACTACTGAATACTGTGACTTGGGAAAAAGAAAAACATCCAACAACAAAGAAAGCAAAGAGAGCACCTTTCAGGTATATGTGTCAAATAAAATATAAGAACTGTCACATGAGGAAAAGTGGCTGTCTCCAGTACAAGATGCCAGGGGTCCAGCATGTAAGCTAAGTACCTCAAAGCCTGACCCATTTATGACAGCTGGGAGCATTCAGCATCTCAGATACCAAAAACACCCCTTTCTCCAAAAGGATACTCACACCACCCAGCCTTGTTCTCCTCCCTGCTCAGTGGAGAGAAACAGGTCATCTGGGAAATAATTCAGAGTGCTTTAGTCAGACCTCTGCCCTTTGGAAAGCGCCATCCCTTTCTACTGACTGTAAACGACAACCAAGAAAGTGAGCCAGATAATTTAGTAGGCTAAATTTCACTGTTTTCATTGTCAAGCTCTTCTTCCTGTGAAGGCTTTCACCTCAGACCTGTCTGAATATTCTGTATTAGCATATTCCATCTGTCAGGATTTTTCTTTGCCACAGCAAACTGAATTTCTATATAGTGTCAATAAGCACCATCTGCTTTAACAATTGTCTGACCATATCCCAAACCATTAGGACTGAAAAAAATATGAAGTGAGTGGTCTGTCAGCTTCCCTTCCTACCCTTTCTAGGAAAAGGGGAAGAATTCTTTATTAGGTTTAATACATGTACTTTTTTTTTTTTTGGAAGTTTTATCATGAAGCAAATAAAGCTCCAAAATAAGAATTTTTTACGGGATATTTTAAAGAAATTGATAGAATTAGAAATTCACAGTTTATAACTAGACCAATATCAAATTCCTTCAATAATAGTATCCCTTCATTTGCCAATTAAAATGAAACACTAATGTGAGCTTAATGTAAATTAATTCTAGAAATGTATGTTATGTACAGACTTTACATCCTATATGCATACATGTTGAAATCTACTGACACTCATACACTTTTAGAAAAAAACATTTAAACTGTATTTGCAGCAGTAATTCGTACATCAAGTTTCTGTTGTCATAGATCCCCAAACAAGCGAGTATTTCAGAAAAAGTAAGATGGAGAAGCTTTCAAAAGTATATTGACATTGCTTTTGCTTACCTTTTTCAGAGGCCTTCCTATTGCGCTTTCTACTTTAAGTGCTATTAAACTGGTAACAAATGAACAAGGGTGTTTTATTTAAATACAGGCGATAAAACTTGTTTATTTTGCTTAAATGCAGAAAAATAACATGGAGTTGTTTGATGTAACCCCATCTAGTTATTAAAACAAATCTCTTATACTCTAGCCTAACTGAGGTAGTGTTTGAAACTACGGTATAAGATACACCAGCCCCATTTTTGGGAAAACTACATTACTTCCTTTGGAGTATATACCACTATTTGGTCTACTTTGACGGAGATTTTGGTTTTTACAGAAGCATTTATTCCTTATGACCAGAGAATTCCAATATTAATGGTGTGGTATGTTTTCAGAACATTTCAAACATGTCTTGACATGTAGACATATTATTTGTATCACTGACCACAAAAGATCTGAGTAGGTTTCTTTTTGCTCCTTTCAGTGGGAACTCATGAAACGACAGTCTCAGGAATTAGATTTTGCTATGAGTAGCAACTTACAAATCTGCTTTATGAGACCCTGATGGCATACAGTGCACATAAAAACTCAGTGAAGTGATACCTGCAAAGCAGTGCCTATGTGGCAAGATGAAATTTCCAATAAGAGCAAGTAAATTTCCTATTTCACTGGGAATAATGTTTTACTGTTCACAAGACAACTGACTGAAATCTTCAGTAGCATAGCTAGTAAGAACGGGATTATGAGTATCAGGATAAATTTTCACTTATGTATTAATCAACAATTATAAAAAATGGTAAAAGTGAATGGATAAAAATACGTTCTACTTAGTACAGTCCAGCTGAGTTATTCTCCTATATCAAAATCAAAGGGCAACCCCTTCTATTACAGGCATTCTAACAAAGGTGGCCATGCTACTGTATATATATACACACATTTGCATATATTTATATTACCTTTGTACAAAGGCTTCTGAATCTTTAGATGCATGGTAAATGATGGGGACTTTTACTTTTTTCATTAAGCTTGCACTCATTACTTTAGAAACCTCACTAGTAGCATAATAGCGTCAACTGTTTTCCTCATTAACAGTCACTGTATTATGTAACTTTTGCAACAAGTCTCAAACACCAATATAAAATTTTAAGTCCTGCTGCTTCAAAATTTGTACTTAAGGCTTTTCACTACAATTATTAGTACTATTTGATGCTTGATTACTCATCCACTGAAAATTCAATCAAACTTTTTTTTTTTTTACAAAAGGCTGTTTCCATGGAACTTGGAAAATTGCTCATATTACATCTTTTCACAAAAGCAGCAACGATTAATGTCTTCAAGTTTAGTTTATACAATATTCATTTATCTGATACAAATCATGCTTGTTAAAGATTTTTAGTTAAGAATAAGACCAACATTCATACTATATGAGCATGAGTGTAGTAACTGCAAACACATGCATATCATTCAGGGAAAACAATTTGATTCCAGCATTTTAGCTTTAAATGATTTGTTATTTTAAAATCAAACTGTAGTGAAAATCCTTAACTGGTTCAGATAAGATACATATATGTAAATGTAATGAAATTGGAAAGACTGCTAATAAAATGACTTAAAACTACAGTAATATTAAAATAACTTAAAGGAAACCTCAGATTCACAGAGGCTTTTTTTTTCTGTCTGAAGTTACAAATCCCCCAAGTAGTGTTACAAACAGTACAAAAACCAACAGAGAAGAGCTAACATTTATCCCCTGGTGTCCATGATCACAGCATGGCTCCCCATTGCTGACAACGGAATGCACCCTCATCTCACCAACTCCTGGTATGCTGGGTATAAAAAAAAAAACAAAAAACAAAAACAAACAAAAACAAAAAGCAAGGCATCATTCTGCTTCTCCAGAACAGAATTAGAAGTCAATCAAGTCAATCATATAAGATGTCTCTGTGTTGTTTTGTTTTGAATTTATGGTTAAAAAATGAAATGAAAACTTGTGGAGGTGTTCAGTGCTCGGCTCTTGCATATTCTGGTAATTACTATTATTAGAACTATGGTAATGTTTAATATATCCCCAAGGGGCTCAAAAGTTGGTTGAGGAAGAAAGTTATCGGTTCACTCTTCAGGTACCAGTAGCTTCTGGAACGGCCTAGAAGATGATGATCCAAACTTTATTTTCCAGTCAATCAGAAGTTGTCTGAGGATTTCAGAAAGTCTGTATGCAATGCACTGCGTGGAACAGACGTCAGGATTCAGCTGATGTATCAATTACAGGTTGTTTTGTTGGTGTTGCTAAAATAGCCTCTGCTTCCTCATGCATCTGAAAGACAGACAGATGAAGTATTAATGTTGAGATTTTACCAGAATGACATTACAAAATGGTTTTCTTTAATACATGCCTGAAAACATTACTCAGAACATGAAACCTGCACCCCTTTGGCACATTTTGGTGAATTCAAAGCATCTCAACCTTCCACTTACTTGTAAGAACTGCACATCTTGAAATAGCTCCTGAATGAATCTTCGAGATGGGAGTCGAAATGTACAGTGTGCTAACAAGTAGGACACCTCAGAGTAAAGGCATATGTCATCAAATGCTTGGGGATACTTCTCCTTAATTCTGATCAACAGGAAAAACAGAATTTTAAAAGCCCTGAGCAGATTTCCATCATATTTTTAAAAACTGTTAAGTTTTGATTGTCATCATTAAACTAGAACTCTTCAGTAATAAGGCATTATAAATTCTGGATATGAAGAAGGAAAATCAGAACAGACAGCATGATTTTCTACCAAATTGGAAGAAATCTCTATTGATGACACAAAATAGAATATATCTAACTTTGAAAGCTGTACAGAGCACCTGAGATCACCAACGCTAACAGTAGAATTTGAAAGATAACAGTGTATCAAAGACAACACTCCCATATGTACCAACAATACTAAAAATAAATATGGAAAATCTAACTTAATATCTGTATTTTATAAGTAAAATGAACACTACCGAATTTTCGTTTAGCAGCTGATGGTTTTTAACATCACTAGTCCAGAAATTTACACTTTTTATTATGTTTAGTACATATACATTATTCCTGTATTTTTAACAGGAGTTTTGCCTACAAATTAATGCCAGTGGTTGCATTGTTTCTTAAAACACATTTGTATTTCTCAAGTTACTTTCAAATTGTCACTCTGGTTACCTGATATATCTTGCTTGGCACAAATAAACATGAAATAATTACCGTTTCTTTTTGAAAGATTCAGGACATACTGAGTTTAAAATGAAACATCACTACAGTTAAATTACTAATTTGAAGAAGAGTAGAAGAGTGGTAAGAGTATGACATTGAAGATGGAGCAAATAATATTAGATGGAAAATCATTTCCTTAGCTTTTACATTATGTTCAGCAGCTATCTCCAGTAATCCACAACAATACCTCCTTGATGGCATTTTGAAAAGTCAGAATCAGGTGAACCACTATCTCAGAGAACTTAGAAAATACGTACAACTAAATATTGACAAAACATTTGAGATGTATTTAACTTACGTCAGGAGTCCAGTTTCATGGCCCTTAGTTCCCACTGAACTACTCAAATTGATTACTAAACGTAAGACTTCTTTCCGCAGAAGTATTCTGCACACTGGTGTATCATCTGGGATTGATTTTACTCCTGGAAAAACAAATCCAACCATATGAAGTTCAAGCAGGAAGTCTTTGATTATGCTAATCTTATGCCACGCAAGTCTGTTTTGGCATTTTACATACATGTGCATACATACAAACATGTACACAGATTTACATATATATTATGAACTACCAATAAATATCCTAATTAAAACTTAAAATTAAAAATTTTAACATAAGATGATTGTTTTTCCAAGATGAACTTCATAAGTTCTGTGAGACATGTGGAAGAACTGAAAACTAACACAGATTCAACTACAGTTCTGTCTCTATCACTAGCGCATGTTGCTAGGATATTACCTTCTCTGTTTGTATCAAATCCTAGAAGCTAGCAACCAGCTACTTCATAACAAATTATCATAATTCAAAATAGAAAATGCAAGTCTAGTAACAAAACCTCTCTCTAACAGAAATTTGGTAATTTTGTTTTTAAAAACTTTTTTTTCCTACAGTTGGGTAAAAAAATCATTTTGATTGCAAGGTAGGACACAGAGCTGTTTAATTACCTGCAAAAGATTGTACAGCATAAGCAGAACAGTTTTAAAGTATGTTCTTCTATTTTCTTAATAATATGCAATGCATCTACCTTCCTGGATAGGGCACCTACAGATGGTTTGTTTCTTGTTGTTTGGTGTTTGTTTTTGAGTAATGGACATTACTTTATTGCAGGAAGTGGAAATGAAGTATTATTCTTTCATAACACTTAAAAAATACTTTAAGAGCTATAGCTTTAATAACATACAGTTTTCAAACTTACCTAGTACAAGTTCTGTACTTTTGGTGCTGCTAGCTGAACCATGAGATACTGCATCACTACAGCCCGAAATTCCAGAAAATTTGGAGGAATGCACATCTAAGTGATTGTGTATGGTCTGCCCACACCAGTCAGTATATGGAATGTCTGAGAAATCTAACAGAAACAAGATATCACGTCTCTGTTACTTGTATTTTTTCTTACCTGAAATGCTTTTCATATTTTCCAGCAATGTTATTTATGCAATACTCTGATGCACTAAGTATGGTAAATGTCAACATACAAAAGAGATGAAAACGAGATTTTAGACAAAGCATGCTAAAAGTGTTTTTAAAACACTATTTTGAATCTTAAAATTCTTTGGTAAAAACAACCAACTCTTAAGCAGTGACAGAAGTCTAATGCATTCACACGTACAGCTCTTACTGATAAATCTATGCTTTTCTGTATAAAAGAGATGGATTTTGTATATGCACAAGTTCTTAGTTCATAGTAATTGTCACAGGTCATGCAGAATGGGCTCTGACTTCAACAGAAAGGTGTGACAAACAAGGATTATTCTGGGAAGTTTCACTACACATAACCTTTGATATTTCGGATGCAAAAAGATGAATGTAAAATCCTAACATTTAAGTTCTTGTGCATTTAATAGTGCATTAAAACACATTGGTTTGAAAGGATTTTGAGAGACCACCTAGTTCAACTCATTTAACAACGAAAGGATCACTTCAAAATTAAATCAGGTTACACTACGAAGAGTTTTTCCCCTTTATGTTCAACTGGAATTTCTTTTACTACAGCACATGTCCATGACCTCCTGTTCTTTGCCTCTGCAACTCTACAAGAGAGCCAAGGCCAGGTTCTTGACAATCTCCACATGGCATTTGAGGACTAAAGAAAGATGAATGCACCACAGCTTTCTCATTCAGTTTCATCACACATCCCCAAAAGAAACACTAACCTGTACGAGTATATGAAGAGTTCACTTTGTTGTTAGGCTGATAACCCAGAATTTGAATACAGACACAATAAAGGCAGTTTTCATCTGTGTGCTCCTGTAGCCCAGTATCCTCTGTATTTTCTAAAAACTGGGAGGCATCAGAACGGCTGGTATTCATTATTTCTGTGAGACTGATCTGCTGTCGGAGCATCTGAAAAGGACTTTTGACTACATCACCTGTACCTGATGGAAGACCTGTAGATAGGCAGATATCAGGAGAAAACACATACAACAGTTAATAGAACATTCTTTGAATTAAATTTCCCCTGTTAAGGCTAAGAGTAGAAGATCTAGAAAGATCTAAACCTTTTTTTTTTTTTGAATAAATTCCCAAAATTTCTTATAGCATTCCAGAAATAAACATAGTTTTTTAGTCTCAGCTAAATACTATATAACAGAATGTTGCAAAGGATAGACCTCAATCTCTAAACACCTACTGTACAAAGGCAGGGTCAATTCCAGTATTGTATCAACAACTGTAACACCCATATGTTACAAATTTTCATAGTATCAAACAACATTGGTAGAATATACCAGGTGTATAAATGATACATGCAAATGAAAACAATTTAAGAATGCTAACTTAGTGCCTTTAACAGCAGGGAACTCAATTCAGTAATGTAGAAACAGGGCTAAGAAATTTCAGTGATGGGCTCTTCCTTGGATGGAAAGCACCAACATACACAATTTTGAATGGAAGTTACTTTATAACAAGACTCAGCAAGCTACAGAAACACTTTCAGGAAAAACAGCTTAATATATTATACTGAAAACACATAAAAAAAGATCTTCAAGCAACCTTCTTGTAATAAAGGTCTAGTTAACTAGGACTACAGCTATTCTGTACTACTTTAGAACCAGTATCAATGTTTTGTTTTTAGTTGCCCTACTAAAAAGACACATCGATGCTCTACAGATTTTCATCTACTCTTGAAGTAGAAAGAAAACCCTTTCCAGAACAAGCCAAGAATTACAGAGCACTTGCAATTCTCTTGTACTACATTTCATCATCTCCACTGATAAACTGCCTTGGAAACAACATAGAAATACAAAATTTACTTTCCAAAATATACATGTAACAACTTTATTGTTCCTAAAAACTCATGGGTAATCAAAGGGAGTCAAAATGTAATAGCTCAATTTCTATTTGGCATTGTATTTTTCTTTCTTAGCTTAAATTGTTTCTTTCTCTAATGCGCTATTGCTTCCAGTCTTCCTTCAATTAGCATTAGCTCATATTACAGTCAAAGATACACAGACATACTTCAATTTATTAGATCAAGTTCACGTTGAAACAACAGTGCATTATCTTATCACAAAAATTAAATTAGTGGTCCAGTATCCCTAAATCCAGAACACAGCTCTCAAATAACCTAAAGAAAAATAGCCAAACCAACATCCCACCCCAAACAACATATGTACAAATAAAGAAAATTACAATAGACGAACAAAAACAATACCTCCTGCATCAGCTGCAAAGACCCTAGCTCCACGGTCATCAAATGGAGGTGTAGTTTTTTTCTGGAAATATGGAGTCTCCTTTACCTGGTATAGTCAGGTGATAATCAAAATTAGCTTGGGTGATAATCATACCAAGAGGAAAAAAAGATTTTGTGAGGACAGTTTCAGGAAAAAGATCTAATTAGAGGATGAAATGAAGAAGGAGTCTTGAGTACTAAAGAAATGCCAATGAAAACAAAAAGCATAAATTTGTGAATGAAAATTTAATAATCAAATCTTATAAACAGAAAGCAAATAGACAAACAGTGGTGACAGGCTGTAAGAAAATCAGTGACCCAGGAGTACTAATGATCTCTACAATACTGGGGATCTCAGGAGAGCAAAGTAAGAACATCCAGGCCATTTAAACGTTGCCTGTAAAACGCTGTAGAATTGAGTGGTGTTGTGGAGTTGAGAGAGAAGAAATGAAGCAACATAAATACACCATAAAGACCGAAGGAAAAAAGAGAAAAAGTCATTTCACAAAGGAAACAAACCGGTATGATAGAAGATCTTGCCTTTGCTCTATCTTCAGTAGTTTTTAAGATTCGTAGAAAGGAATCAAGGTATGAAAGGCAAAAATTAAATAAACTAAAAATGAGAAAGACACTAGTTTACCTGTGACATAGACCATGTCCTGTCTTTGACAATTATGTAATGGAATATTAAAATTAATAAAAATTATGATGCATCACTGTTTAAATTGTAATGTATTTAAACTAAGCAGAGAGATAAAGTCAAATAAGACATCGAAGTAACCAGTTCTTAAGATACATACCTCTGACGTTAAGGCAATACAATTTAATGCTATGACGATAAACATACTAATGGAGTAATATTAAATCAAAATCACCATAGCAGAAAGTTTACTGTGGGATTACATACATGATTTATAGTTGACTAATGAACTAGTTGGCCAGTTGAACTAGTTATCTAGTAGTTGGCTAAAGAGATATTAAAAATGACCATAGACTATATTAATTTTAGTACAGAAACTAGCTGCCAACTAAAATCCCATGAAAGTATATTTATGCTGCCATTGTTTAATGCTCTTCTAACCTATTCTGTTATTTGTCTAATAACACAAAACAGACTAGTACTTTTGAGACTACTGCTTTTCTGTTAACTGGGTTAGAAAAAAAACTCTTGTTCTCCAAAACACATTCCTTGAGAGTACCACAACCTGTTATCCTTCTATAGATCTGATCTATTCTAATGAAAATGCAACTGTTCATTACCTTTCAGTAAGAAAGTGTGAACAAACCTACTATGTTATCACATACATACCTGAAATATTTCATTGATATCCACTGGGAGAGCAAGGCCAATGTAATCATCAGAGCTTCCATATGTAGCATTAGAAACCATGGAGCGAACAGAAGAGGAACGCTGAAGTGTATTTTGATTAATAGGACTTAATAAATCTTCTTTATCTAATGAAGCATAACTTAAAGCTTTCATGAACCTGTAACATTAAAATAATAATTATAATCTTGGTAAGTCTGTCATTTTTTATACAATACAGATTAGGACTGCGGTCACAAAGACTACCCTCATCTTCCCATTGTGGAACCCAGAGCTTGTTACTCTTAACCTATAGCCATAGGCTCATTTTTGTACTGTCTCACGTTGTATTACATCATTTGGCAGTTCCTAGGGTAAAAAGATGTGATCTTCGGAAGCCCTGAGACATGAACATGAAAGATATCTGCATGAAACTTAAAAAGCTGTCAACCCTGTAAAAGCAACCCTGTAGAAATCTTCTCCAGAAGATTTCTACATCTTGCGTCTGCGCAAGTGCATAGCCCAGAAACAAATCAGTGAAGATGTAGGGTTTTAAACTGCTAAGTCTCATTTTTTGAGCATACCTATCTATATTCAGAATGTAGCTTTACTGGATATTCACAAACTCAGACCTAAGCAGGCACCTCCCTGCAAACATGAGGTGTGGACATGCTAGGTACCAGAGAGACAAATGGGGAACACTTTTTCCTGTGCTCTAAGGGAGACTTAGTGGGTGACTTTTAAGTGTGGAAGGTCAATTCAGTCAACTTAATAGTATGAAGATCAAACTTGAGGCTGCACAGTGAGCAGTGCTAAGTGTGGCAAGTAAATGGAGGAACAAACAGAAAAATAGGCTGGGAAAATGAGACAGGAGATTGGAGGTTGGAGAACATGCCCCTCAGCGCAGATCAGAGTTCTGGTAATGGAAATCTCACATGGCCACTTCTTATTTTAGTTCTCATTTTCTCATTGAAGATTAAAGACCTATAAATGCTTTCTGTTAATTGAACTAAAGCAGATTGTCTATGCAGAGGAATAAAACTTCCTACTCCAACACGACCATATAAGTGCTAATATACCATGACAAACTTCTCCTTTTCATCACCTTTCCTACACAAAATGGTTTTAAAAGGACAAAACAAACCACACCTAGAAGGTCATTATGGCTTATATTAAAAAAGAATTAAAATTGAAAAGGTAAGAAAACGTAAGTATTAAAAATACTAACTATGCACAGCACATAAGAACTATTACACCACTGTCATGACTTTGGCTGGGATAGAGTTAATTTTTTTCAGAGATGTTTATATGATGCTGTGGTTTGGATTTTTGATGAAAACACACTGATGGGTTGGTTGCTGTTGAGCAGTGTTCAGACAAAGCCCAGGATGTTTCATGAAGGGGGAACATTTGGAGTGATAGCATTTGTCTGCCCAAGAAATCATTACAGATGATGAGCCCTGCTGTTCTGGAGGGGCTGAACACCTCCTGATGATGGGAAGCAGCAAGTGGGTTCCTTGATTTGCTCTGCCTGAACACGGCCTTTGCTTTACCTGGTGAGCTGGCTTTGTCTCAACCCCTGAGTTCTCACACTTCTACCTCTTTGATTCTCTCCCTCTTCCCACTGGGTGTGGGATGAACAGTTGTGTGGTACTGAGCTGCCTACCAGGGCTAAACCACAATGACCAAGGCTTAATTACAAAAATCACACGTTATTTATTCAGTGGAATTACTGCCTCATTTAAAGCATAGTACATGACTGAACTGCATTGAAAAAGACTGCATGTATTGGCCAAAGGAGCACTGCTTTATTCACAGCAGAAAGGTAAAACATTGAGTAAAATGAGGCAATAATGTAATTATAGGCAAAAAATAATAAAGTCAGGGAAAATAAATTTGGAGAAGTTGATTTTATCACTCAGCCACAAATTTATTGTTACTGACAAACATACTGACTTTTTAATAAAAAAATAATTTACAAAACTATTTTCTACAGGAATCTCTACATGCTTTCCAAGTTTCAAATTTTATTAGCACGGCAGCTGAATGATCCTACCAAAATTTGAACAATTCTATGTAATATTTACAAATGGAGAAGGAAGGAAATTACTTCACATTATTACAGTCTAGGAGCTAAAATACAGCAAACATTTGATTTTTAAGGCTGGACATTCTACCTCAAAAATAACTTCCTATAATTTTTTGGTTTTGATATGCAATTAGAGCATCTTCCCATCCCTAAGAGTTTAACAAATTTATACGGAGATAAGAATAAATGAATAAACTGTTGTGTTTTGATCTTGTGAGACTCAAGACACTATTATACAATGGGAAAATGCATAACAGATTAGAGACATCACTAGTTTTCCCCATACTACCTAATTCTGACCAATGTTAGTTACAGTTGCAGTGACTTGCCATTAAGACTCAAGTCAGACTTCAAAATACAGATAGTTACTAATTGCATTAGTTATCTCATAATAAAACATTCAACCATTGCTCTCATTACAAAATTACAAAATTCCAGATCTAAGCATTAAACCTAAATGTTTGCCCCGCTTCTCCTGGAAAAGCAACTGGATACATTACAAACAGGGGCAAGTGCTGTTAAGTTTTCATGAAATCATGTCTGGAGTTAATTAGGGGAGAGCACTATGATAGGATTTGAGACATGCACCATGACATTTTTGATTGGTCTTTAAAAACAGGTGAAAAACTTTGCCTTACAAAACATATGCAAAGAAATAAACTTTTCAGCCTTTTGACAGAATGAAGCAACTAGAAAAATCACTGAAGCTAATTGACCGCTACTTGTTATGATCATCTGAATTTGTGAATAAAGCATGGAAGTCTTTCATAAGACTGACAGAAAGTTGGCTTTGGAAGACAAAAGGGATAGAATCTCTTTCCATTTTACTGCTTGCACAGCTGTTAAGGGTAATATTTAACTGGAAGCAGTAATTTATCCTAAAATTAAACAGAACACAATGATTCAGTGGACAGACTATGCTGTTACCAAGAAAGGAAAACACACAAACTAGTTAAATTAAACCCTTCCCAATCAAATATATCTAGCTAAGACAAGCAACCATCTTTTGCAATATATATAGCTAATTTTTTAACCTTCTCAGAAGGATAACAACTTCAGTCATTTTGGTTCAATGGTACATAGGTCAGCTCAAATCCTTGCACGAGATACCACGACCAGCGAAGCACTAGAAATACTGAACACTGGAATCGAGGGCTACAAGCTCTTCAAAAGAGACAGGCAAGGAAGATGGGGTGGAGGTGTTGCCCTCCACGTTAGGGAATAGATTGATTGAAAAAAGCTGCCTCTGAGAAACAGCCACAGACAGGTTGAGAGCTTGTGGGTAAAAGTTAAGGACCACACTAAATAAAGGACATGTGTTTGGGGTCTGCTACAGGCCACCTTATCAAGGGAAGTCTGTTAAGCCTGTTATCTACCTGTACTTCTGTAAGGCTTTCGACACAGTCCCAACATGACATCCTGATCTCTACATTGGAGATATATGGACTTGATAGGTGGACAATTCAGTGAATAAGGAATTGGCTTGAAGGTCACACCGAGAGAGGGGTTGGTCAACAGCTCTATGTCCAAGTGGAGGCCAGTGACAAGTGGTGTCCCTCAGGGGTCTGTCCTGTTTAATACATTTATCAGCAATATAGGATCAAGCGCACTGTCAGCAAGTTAACAGATGGCACCAAGTTGAGTGGTGTGTTTGATACAACAGAAGGAAGAGCTGCTACCCAGAGGAACCTGGACAAGCTTGAGAAGTGAGCTCATGTGTTTCAAGGAGTTTCAACTATTTTTTTTTTTTTTTTTTTTACAGCACTCAGGAATTTCTCATTAACCTATTCTTCTCTTAATATCAGTACTGCTCTCAGTGGAGATATCTAGCACCCTGCAATAAATGTCACTTTTAGATGAAGTTGGAAAACGGAAAAAATAATAGAACAGTATGTCTCTAATTTAATTGCTTTTCTAGCTTTGAATAAAGAAATTAGCACAAAATAACTTCTTACCTGCTTGGCGTTAGCCGAGAATCCAGGCTGCCAGACTTCATGGTAATAGTGTCAGTAAAAAGCACATCCTTTGCTGGAGATGCTAGGGCTTCTGAGTGAGATAGTGAAGGATGCATCCTCTGCTGTTGTAAGCGTTTTAGTGTAGCATAACCAAAGGCATCTCGAGAACTTGTGTAGCTAAAGTTATAGTCAGCAAGACTCTTTATTGTAGCAAGAGAAGGAGCTTTAAGAGATTGGGCTCTTCGAGGAAGTGTATGAGAAGACCCTGGGGGTACCAGTGATACAGAGTTCGATTTTGAGAGAGGCAGGTGGTTAGACTGTGGTGTTGAACAGTGAGATGGTTTAACTGTTTTTGTGCTTACCACAGTACTCAAACTTCCACAGTCAGTGTCTACATTTGTAGTGTCCACACCTACAGTCTCCCTTGAAGGGCTAGAGCTCATTGAGCTTATGCCACTTGTTGTGGTATCTGTATTAAAACTTAAGCTACGGCTCTTGAAATGTGTTTGTGTAGTACCATCTCCTATTAGCCTTTCTCTGCTTGTGTTTTCCCGGTGAATTTCATTTCCAAGACCTTTTGGCAGCTTCAAGTCATTTTCACCAATACTCGGGGTACTATCAGTATCTTCCATGTGCTTACTTCCAACAAAAGAAGTTTCTAATCGTAAAGTCTGGATTTTAGGAACTCTGAAAACAGGGTTGAAATCTTCACCAGTAGGAAAATCTATGCTACTGGAAGGTTCTGTTACAGTACGATTTCGCCTCAAGCCTGATTTACTGTCAGATGATGTCAGCTTTCCTCCTTTTGGATCACTGCTACTCCTGTGTTTTTTATTAGGGAGAGTAAGCGAATTTAGAATGCGATTTTTTACAAGTCTGCTAGAAGAAAAAAAAGGAAAGGGACTACGGTCTTTGTCCTTTGAAGGTCCAGGTCTGTCATAAAATATTTGTTCTGCATCTTCTGTAATATCTAGGAAGAACGTACTAGTTGAAGTACTACCAAAACGGTCATCCTCCATGATGAACATACCTGAAATGAGATGAGACTTTTGTCAATGGAAACAATCATTTCTTCAACATGCATCAACTGAATCATGCAAAAGCAACCTATTCAATAAAAGCCCAAACTGCAGAGCATGTGGTTTATTGCAACTTTAAATTCAACATTTTTTCTTCAGAACTTGGCACAGTAAATGAAGTATCCTCAGGAATACCTGAGCTGCATGTTTCTGTGCTTCGAAAGAAAAACCACAGGATCTTATTTCAGTGCATACATGTATAACTAACTACTAAGACTACAACTGATACACTCCTTTAATGATATCTAAACATGCTGTATTTCTGGATTCAAATTCCAAATATCAATAACACTAACAATTTAAATATAGCAAGGCTATATATACACTATATTTTCGAGACATCAACAACAAGAAAATAGATGTGAATTTGAGTATGTAGTTTTCTGTAGGGTATTGCAGCTAACTACCATGACTTATCCAAGTGACAAGACAAGGGGAAGTGACCTCAAGTTGTACCAGGGGAGGTTTAGTTTGGACCTTAGAAGAAATTTCTTTACTGAGAGAGTTGTGCAACACTGGAATAAGCTGCCCAGAGAACTGGTTGAGTCACCATCCCTGGAAGTCTTTGAGAAACAAGTAGATGTAGAACTTAGTAAAATGGCTTAATGGGAGACTTTAGTACTAGATTACAGGTGGAACTAGATAGAGGTCTTTTCCAACCTGACTGATTTTTATGACTTGACATAAAAATTAATAAACTCCCCTAATGTTAAAATTCCTTACCTTGATGCCAAACAAAAATCTAAGATGTTGTTTTCTTGTCTCTCACTTGTCTACATCTCTTTGAATGTACGTAAAACTGTCCCCCGGCTTGCACTTTTCTCTGTTGGTAATATCACCTTTGAACCACTTGCCTGAACCTCATCCTGACAAGAAGCTGATAACAACAACAGAATACTTGTTTTGTCTTCTGTCTCTTTTTTTTTTTTTCCAACTTACTTGAAGGTGCAGATTCACTTTCACTGTTATGCCTAGAACTGGTGGACTCAGAGTTCAAGCTAAGAGTACTGGGTATAGAAGAAAGTTCATTGCAGAGCTGCTCCATGTCATCAGGGACCACTGGCCAAGGTTGTCTACGACTGTGTCTCACTGCATCCCAGTTGTGATGCTTCAAAATGTCACATCCTTGTTTAGTTTTGGCTATTAGACCAAGCACGTAGACACACGTTCTGTATTTAACGTATATATAGAAAAAAGAGCAACAATAATAGCATCTAATTTAACTAAGCTCTTCTCCTTTTTTGAAACTTTCAAAACAGTTCAGAAGAAACTTCACAAAATTGCCACTTTTTGTTTCTGATTTTCATTTGTAAATCAGTAGAAACTTAAGTACACTAAAATATCCAAAATGCATTTAGAAATATAATATACAAAAATGAAACTATCACGCTTTTTGTAGTAATTAAAACATTGATACAGTAGCACTATTAGGCAAAAGAGCCTAATTTATACTGTCTTTTAAAGACTCAGAATAAAAATGATAAAATAAAAATGATGAAATAATAAATCAATTCCAGAGATATACACTACATATTTGAATTACTTTTTAAAGGAGGCAAAAAGTAGTATAATTCCCCCACACACAAATTTTGTTTGCTTGTACTTTTGAACTTCCAAACAATTCTGAGAATCCTCTCAAACACTGTCATAAATAATCCTTAATAATTGATTACCAAATCAGTGGGAAAATATATATCCATGTGAATACAGTACAGACATTTGAAACCCTACTGGAACTATAATCTTCAGATTTTGTTTAATAATTAAATACACATACCCTCTAACAGAGAGAACCTCGCAGTGTTGGGCAAGCATCATTATATCAGGAATTACATTCTCCTCTTGAAGCAAATTAAGACCCCAGTTTGATGATCCAATATTGCCCTGCAATAAAAAATAGTTTGTCAAATAAGTTTTGATTTTGATGGGATCTGAAGCACCGTTGATGTAAAGTATTCAACACTTTTGTTTGTAAGTAGTAGAGTTCCTATCCACAACCTCTTAAAGGTATTAGAGCAGTTTCTCCCTCCTTTTTAATATCACTTAGTCATGCCATTGGTATCTCCAAATCCAGCGAAGGACTGAGGATACTTGTAACAGCTATGACTGCCACAGGTAACTATTTATGTATTTCTCAGTTTACCAGTTCTACTATAGCCAGCAGTATAACTTTTTTCTTTAAACTTATTTTACATTCCTCTTAAACAGGCATATTATTACATACCTACAGTGTCTTCCAATAATAGTCACCCTGAACAAGTGTTCCAAAACAAATTTTGGGGAAGACAGAAAAAAGGCAAATGAACACTTAAGGTGGCAAAGCAGCTTTAGAAGTGCAGATTGGGTAGACACATACACTGTTTTTTTTCCAGGTTATCCACAGTACTGAGGATGTCATAACCATATATTCACAGGCAATCAACAGCAGCACAAACTTTCCTCAAAAAATTTTGAATTTTGGAACACTACAGTAGATGTATCACACAGCAAGTTGTAATCTCTGGCTTCATACTAATACTGTTGTTACATGTAGCAATCTGTTCTTTATATTTGTAAAAAGTGACAACTAAAAAAGCTCAGAATAAAACAGCTGCAGTGAATAATCTTCATCTGTTATTCCAGTTATGGTACAGAATACCAGGTTGGCTCGGGGAGGAAAAAGTGGCACATTCTATGAGAAAAATACCTAAACAGTGTTTTTTTTAAAAGGATTTTGCTTAGATATTTCAGAATCAAAAGTTGTAACAGAAGTCAAACAGCTGCAAAAAGATTGTAAATGTATTACTAACCAAGGCCCAAAGGGCTGCTTTCAGCTGCTTAATTCCTTCCCACTTATCCAGCATTGGGGAACGAACAGTGTAACTCAGATCTGTAACGATACTCTGATGGAGAAAAACAAAAATCAAAAATGAGACACAGACCTCAGTGAAACAGGTTTTCTTGCATTTTTAGCAAACAAGGAACTAATTTGAAGTACACACCCTGAAATAAACAGTCATAGTTGTGACATAGTAAGCATAAATTAATATCAGTGGTAATGAAGGTGGAAAAATGTAACATAACCAGTGAATGCATCAGGTCAATTTGGATTTTACATGGGTAGTGTTCAGTTTAATACAGGAAATTATATAACTTTTCACTTGATTTTTTCAACTATTAAATACAATTCAAAACATAATTTTGTAAAATCACATTAAAATTCAATTTAATTAATGAAGAACTGATTCTTATACACAGATTAAAAAAAATATTCCTACTTGCAAGCTGCTTTACTTCTTTTTTTACTAGCCATTTTAAGAAAAATAGTGCAAGGTATTTCTGATATTTCAGTGCCCAAAAAGAATTTTACATGAAATTTACATGAAATTTTTGGCCCCAAAACACTTGAGACTTTCATAATCTACTGATTTTGCAGTGACTGTTTAAATGACATCTCTTAAAACATTTTGTTAAAGAAAGTTACAGTACTCTAAAATCATTCAAATTTTAAATCATTGCTATCCTCACCTGAGACTCCAATAAATGGCAGCCTGTTTTATGGTGCACCAGTTGGCCATAAAGGTGAACTGGAAGGTAGACATGTGGTCGCTGTAATCTGGTAGGAAGAAAAACCCATATCCTTTTTCAGGAATTCTGAAGTTTTCCATTAATGTAAGGTACATTGCATTGTAATGCAATGAGTTACTCTTCATCTTTTTCAGATGAAGAAGATTCGTGTGGTGAGTGTTTACCTTTGATTGCTCCGACGAACATAGTTATCACCATCAACAGGTTTGCGATATGTTGTAAGTGCTTCATTAAGTTGTTCTTCAATCAACTCAACATACTTTAAGTTATATTCCTAAAATAATATAGACAAATGTTGACACACTATGTTCAGGTGGTTTATTTTTTATAGTAAGGTACTTTATAAGGAAGGAACAATTGAAGTTCTTAATGAAGGATGAATTTCTTTATAATTTGAATGTGGTGCTCACCAAAAGTACTGTACTTCATATATAGGATTTCGCAGAGTCAACTGATTCCATAATTACTTCAGAGAAAGTTAAAAATGGAAGGAAATATTTCACTTTTTACTTTAACCTGAAAAATCTCTACTGAAATGCGTGGTAGTCTGCGAAGTAACAGCTTACAAAGTAGTCAAAAACTACCTAATGGCTCATAGGATTGTGACCTTTACAAGATGTTTGACTAGTACCTTGAGAAAATAAGCACTTAAATTATGAAATGATGTATGACTACTGACTTTAGTCAGACAACGATGTATTTTTCTTAACATGTCCTTGTGTCTATCTACTTCCTAACTACATAGGCTAATTCTATCTTCGTGTGTTCTGAATTTAACTTAATTACCACAACCAGAGCTGACAGCTATCTTGAAAAGTAGTGTTCCTTTCCACACTTTTCTGGATAAGACCTTACAACTACCTATCTTGGAAATTCATTAAGTCACTACACCTTTAAGTATTTTCTGGAATATCAGAATTACATAAAAGGCCTTGTCAAATGAAAAGCATGCATATACAGAGCAGTCATGCACCTCCAAGTCCCTGTCAATATTTTTCAGCAAATTGCTAAGTCACTGAGGCAATAAATGCACTGGCAATAGAAATACACCTATATGAATGCACAACATTATCTTTGACCTTCTCAAGCCCGTGTATTCAAACCCTTCCTCCTCCTAAGTGTACATTAGCTTGAAATTAGCATTACCTTTTGCCACTTTTCCATTTGTTTTGTTACATAACCTCTTTCATTTAGATATGAAAACCCCTTTGGAATGGAGAGAAACCTGTAAAGTAACATCAGACAATCAGCACTCCACTTATATCACATAATTTGAATACAAACCAAATGCTTCGTTTCCACATTATAAGTCAAACAGCATATTCAGTATTTACCTTAGGAGTAGAAGCAAGCCTTTATCTCCAAGGTGAGAAAGAGCTGGTTTCATCTGGATAAGGGCATGAAGATTGGCCTAAAATAATTAAAAATAAGTCATATCTGAACACTATAACATTCTGAAAACTACAATTACAACAATCTGTGAGCAATGATGTAACAAGTTTATCACACAAATAAGTGTGATAAACTAACCTCATCTTAATGTCGTCCATTTCTGGTACCTTCTGCCATTAGATATAGGTTCCCTTACAGAAAGTATGATTAAAATAGCTGAATTATTGTGAATTAGTATTTAATAGTAAGCGTAATCCAAACATCTATTTTTTCTTACCATTAATAGTGCAGTTTGTAGACCCATGCTGAAATGACTATTATGAAGTCAATCAAGGACTATGAAGAAAAGCAACCATCAGTACCCTCTTGGATACTTTGCTATTGGGGGGGGGAGGAGGATGAGGAACAGCTTAAAGTAGCATACCACAAAGATTGAAAGGGAAAAGATGAGGGAAATGATGCTCACCTTGTCTTCACATGCCTCATCTAGAATATCAAGTGCTTCAGAAGAAATAGTTTTATTTTTATCATGTAACTGTGTCACCAGTAACTCAATCCCCCAGTTGCTGAAGAATTCCACATTTGCTCTCAGTAACACTCTTAAGTGTTTTGTTGCATACAACCTGCAGCTCTGCAAAAAGCAAGGAGACCAGAAGAAAAATAGCTAATGTAATTAGTGATTTATCACTACAGAAAATACATTTTCAATGTCCATATTGTACAGCAAGTAAGTGCAATTCTGACCTTATGCATTAAAACTGTAATCTTTTAGATAACTGTATCTTATCAAACAGAAAATGCAAGTGTGAGATTAATTTGAACTGCATGTTCATTATTCTTAAGATTCACTTGACCAAGCTGATAGATTGCTAGTTCTAATAATTTTTAAAAATAGGTTCTCCTTACGGGACAGAAGAGTGATTGGTATAAGTTGGACCACATTTCTATTTTTCTGTATCGTGCTTGCTACATATAAAACAAGTACCATATTTTGACAGTACTGTTTCAGAAATCCAAACCATAAACCTCAGAAAATGGCAAATACCTCCCCTAACACCTAAAGCAGATTTACTTTCAAATTACTCTGCAGTTAATGGAACCACCCGTGTAAATATGTCAGTACAATATTTCCATATCCCTTCTGGCATCTTATCCTCTCAGAATTGATTACTCCTTCCATCTCATAAATAATTTCTGAAAGACACTTGTAGTTTTGCCAATTACAGTAGCTCAAATATACCATTTATACCACTAAATTAGTTAATACAGCTAATCCAGAATAATTAAAAGACTTTAGCCTTTCCATAAAAAAAAAGCTTTTAAGCTTTTATCTTCTACTGGGGACACACAGACCAGAAACTCCACCAAGCATAGGCATTTTGTCCCTTTGGTACTGGCAACATTCTTTACACCACACACTGCCAAACTATTCTTCAACAGGTTAACATTTTGCTTTTTTGTCAAGAGGTATTCAACAAACTTTTCTCCTCAAAATCCCATCAGTTCAATCACCATAAGAACGCATGTGGCTGGGAAAGAGTTTAAGGAAGTAAATCATCAATATATGAAATCATCTGTAGTAGATGCACATGTGGATTCATTTCTGGTTGCAGAGATGGTCCATTCTATTTGGAGTTTTCCTCTTTAGATCAAAAAGACCACAGTATTTCCTTATGAATTTTAGGAACTCCAAGCAGGTCAACTAATCAGGAAAGAAAAATGCCCTGGCATATCATCTAATGTTCAAAAAGTATCAAAAAGTCTGACTGTTTAAGAGGTTCAAGAAGTAATGTAAATGGGATTCTGGTACAAAAAACAGCATGTTTGCAGTATACAAAAACCATCAGAAAATGTTTGATGACCTAGACAATAGTGTTATAATTGGCTTACATATTTAAAGACTTCAAATCTCTTCATAAATGAGAGCAATTTTAAGCACAAATGCAGCCTGGGTAGAGAATGGACTAAGAGCAGCTCTGAGGAGAAGCATCTGGGAGCGCTGGAGGATGAGAAGGTTGACATGAGCTGGCCACGTTTTCTTGCAGCCCCAAAAGTCAACCATATTCTGGGCTGCATCAAAAGAAGCATGGCTAGCCAGGTGAGGGAGGTGACTCTCTCTCTCTGCTCTGCTCTTGCAAGACCCCACCTGGAGTCCTGCATTCAGCTCCGGGGCCCCCAGAACAAGAAGGAATGGATGTACTAGAACAAGTCCAGAGGAGAGCCACAAAGATGATCAGAGGGCTGGAGTACCTCTCCTGTGAGGACGGGCAGAGTGAGTTGGGATTGCTCAGCCTGGAGAAGAAGGCTCCAGAGAGACCTTAAAGCAACCTTCCAGTACCTAAAGGGAGTTTACAGGAAAGCTATCAGGAGGTACAGTGATAGGACATGGGGGAATGGCTTTAAGCTAGAAGAGGGTAAGTGTAGATTAGATGTTAGGAGGAAATTCTTTACTCAGAGGGTGGTGAGGCACTGGAACAGATTGCCCCACAAAGCTGTGAATGCCCCATCCCTGGAAGTGTTCGAGGCCAGGCTGGATGGGGCTTTGAGCAGCCTGGTGTAGTGGGAGGTGTCCCTGCCTATGGCAGGAGGGTTGGAGTTAGATGATCTTTAAAGTCCCATCCAACCCAAATCATGCTGTGATTCCATAATATAAAAAAAATCTTAAAAACAAAGTCACATGTTGAAAAACAAAAAAAATATCTACTTGAAAATAACAATGGTACATAAATTGAATCAAACTTACATCAGTAGCCGCTGTCAGGATTTTAGAGAGGATGACTCTCGCTAAGCCATCTCTACTGTAATCCAAACTAGAAACAGTCAGTTTTAACAAGTGATCCTGGTTCTTCAAGGAACAAAGATTGAGGAGACTGGGGAAGGGAAAAAAAAAGAAAATATCAGTATTTGAATCCAGTTAAGCCCAATTATTTACCCAGTTAACAATTTAAACATAAGTGCTCTGAACAAATCTTCCACTTCTATAAATGGAGAAGATTACAAAGTAAGTTCTCACATGAAGTGGAATGACTTTAAACTGTTACATCTGTTACAAAGGGGGACAGAATAATGCACTAAACTGCAAGAAAAAAACAGCTTTCATTTTGTAACTGCTCTGCAACAGTTGTCAGCACACTTGAATTAGTGATTTTGAGTACAAAAATAAATGTTCATGAAGCTTTGTAAACAATTCCTCATTTTAAAACACTGAAAAACTGGGGTGGATGTAGAAGAGTAGATGAGGGGAAGAAGTTTTCAGTTTGCTTTTACTTCTCTCTTCTCTGGTCTATGATTCTATGATCTTCAGAAAACAAAACAAAAAGCCACTCCACACTGCCATTAAACAACAAAAAACCCCACTCCACAACTGCAGAGTGTCTACTTAAATAATCACTAGAATTTTGAAGTTTCCAACCTTATAGACAGTGGTCCTCATGCACAGTTTACAAGTTTCATAATGATTATACTTGTAAGCCTAATTCAAACAGAATAAAACCACTCACCACTGAAACACATTACATTTTTCAAGCATCTTGACTCCATGAGGGTGACAAGAAAGAGTACCAAAAAACAGAAAGTAGTGCTGACTAAGCGTATTTAGTAACCCATTATTTTGAAGACTGCGTTCAGGTTTCATTCCTGAAGAAGTGTTGAGCCAATGTACAATATCTTTAACTAACTCCTCCAGGTAACCTTGTCCATCCTAAGGAAACAAAGAGCAACAGTATTTATTAGCAACAGAACTTGTACTTTTTTTTGTTTAAATCAAAATCTGTCACTAAGTTTTTTAAATGTAAAAACAACACAGGTACAAAATAGAAGTGTTTATTGGCAACGAATTCAGACTAAAAAAGGTTTCAATGCAAACAAAACAAATTCAGCTTGGAAACATCTCAGGAGCAATTCTGTTTTTTTAGGAAAAGGATTGTTTAAAGGCATTTTCTCCTGGTCCTCTGGCCCAAGGCATAGCACACAAGAATAAAGAAGGTAAAGAAAGGACAGACAAAGCAAAAATTTCAAAAAAACCAAAACAAAACCTAAGCTGCATTCAATAAAACTATTTAATAAAATCACTTAGACACAGTTACCTCCCCAGTGTCTAATGAATTCACAATTTTAAGCTCTTTTTCTTAATTATGCTGATGATTTTAGGTTTAATAAAAACTGCGGTAGACTTTAGGTCTACAGAATTTTCTCTTGAAAGTTCTTCCTTCACGTGGCAGCTTATTCACTCTCTCATCTTCTAGCTGAAAATTTCTTACCTCTTCTGATTCAAGAAGAAATTCTGTAAACTGACAACCCACGACAGTGAGTTGCTTAGCCTTGGCATAGTCCAGATCCAGATTGGCATATAGTTTACTGCTAGGCTTGTAGAAATATAGTAATCTTCTTACAAACCTAAGGAAAGTAAAAAAAAAAAGTTATTTTTCTCTAAGAAAAGGAGTCCCTTAGAGTACAAAATGATGGCAGTATTAAAGATATTTTAGCATTAAATTAGCTTATTGGCAAAAATTTTTTCAGAAGTTATTAAAAGAGAGTAGCAGGCATCAGTACTGAGTCTATCCAATTTCAGAAATGTAGCTGTATCATACATTTCAAAGGGTTTTCTGTCATGATTTGCACTAAGCACAGGAACTTAAAATCTGTGTCCTTCAAAAACAGCTTCCTTCTCACTCATGCTTATAATTTATTCTGCTGTACTTTATCCAGTGGCGATCTTCAAAGACTGTTCTATTTAGACTTTTAAAGAGCTAAAAAAGAGTCTGTGTTATGACTTTTCTTCAGCTACAATAGTTAGTACTACTGTGAAAAAATGTTATGTTCTGCCATATTTATTCAGCAACAGTATTTTCATTCACCTCATTTAAGCATTTGAAACATAATGCAATGATGTGAAATGCAGACTGTCAGTTTGACTGAAATTACACTGAACAATATAGCCTGAATGCTGCATTGTAGAAATCTTCAGCAGAGCTTCCCCCTGCCAATTCTTAGTCAAAAACCAAACATACTTGTGCTTTATAAGAGCACAACGTTGTCTGAAGGTAGATATGTCAAGCATTAAGGAAGCTTAACTAAAGCATTGTCTTTAGTTTAAAAAGTAAACCACTGTTTGAAGTCCAATGTAAGACTAACTTTAAAGGAAATCTGAGAGCTTCTTTAAATTTGTCAAAGTGTAATTCATTTTCTTATTAGTGAAATACGCATTATAGTTATCAGCACGCATTCATATATGATTGTATTATATGAGTATATGATTATATGATTGTATTATGTGAGTACATGTATATTTACACATACATGTATATGTACAGCGCATTAACATTTCTCCTTGAAATGACAGAATCTATACAAAAATACCTGTATTTTCACTTTAATAGCCGTAAGATCATCACAAAAACACTAACAGAAAAATAAGACATTAAAAAAATCAAGGTACGGAAGGACAATTTATTTTATACCTCAAAAACACAATGTTGCAGAAAAAGTTTTATGATCAGCAGTAAAACCAGAAAAGTTTGGGAGTGTTGTTTTAATTAAACATGAAGAACAGCATTTTACAGCTGTTAGAAGCATGTAACCCACAACCCTGCAGAAAGGATGAACCAACACCAGAAGTTTAATAGTAACTCAATCCTAGGTTTTCCAGTTTTCTCACTGAACTCTTACTGAGTGCAGTAAAAACACAGTAAACAGTAATACTGTCCCAGGTAGGCAAGTAAGCAGGTATAGGAGTGGAGATGGGTGGCACAGCCAGGACTACAGACACTCATTTACAGAAGAATATTAGAAAACCACCAAATTGGTAAATATTTCCTTAACACCCAGAACAAATTAGCAACTGATATTCACGTAAAGGAAAAAAAACTATAAATGCAAAATTAAATTATGACTATGATTACACAATGGGAGTACAACTTATGCTGGGACCACTATAAAAGAGTAGCCCAATTACTTTTTAATAAAGAAAGTAAAATGGAGCAGCGTGAGCCTTTCAGGATACGTTTTAGCTTTAGGTTTTTCCTCAAATCTCTGCAAAGAGGATTTCCATGCCTACCAATACAGAACTACTTTTCAAAATAATTTAAATCAAATCAGTTTGATGTACATGTTGAAAGTGACAAATGGAAACTAATTTATAACATGATTACCACATGTGCACGAATAGAAATGCCTTAATGCCAACAGACGTGAAAGAAACCTGAGTTGCACTGTGCTGTTTTGTTTTTTTTTTCCTGATTTGTTTCAAGTCACACGCACTTCCCTTGCTATTAATAGCAACTAGAAACAACTTCCTCTTAGGTTTTGATGAAAGCTGCAGTGGTACAACTGTACACTTATGGGTATATTCTGCCAAAGTGTTGATATCAAACACTAATGTATTAAAAGTCAGAGGTAATATTTTAAGATTTAGAATTAAACAGCGTTTGTGAAGCCTGTATTATTCTTGTTGGGTCATAAATAAAAATACTTTAAGATGTAGTGATTTATTTAATGCAAAAATATTACAACCTAATTATCTAACTTTTGTTTTTGTTGCTCATCTTCACATTAATTTTAGAAATGTGACATATCCAAGGTATAGCTTATAGCAATTATAAAAACGAGGCTTTCCAATTTGCTTACTTCAAAGGAAGTCTACATAATTTTTTACATACCTGTGCAATTGTTCATCTTTATAGTTCCTTAGATTTACATTTGGCCACTAGAAAAACAGCAAATACAGGATTATATCAAACTTGTACATCAGTCCTTAATTAGTCACTAAAATTTACTCATTTCTATTATATTCACCTAATAGTTAAAGACATAAGTTTTTTTGCATCTAATGTTAGCTACAAAAAAAAAAAAACATTTTATTGAAAAGCCCACACTTCTTGCTCCAGTAACTGTTTTAAATTTTCTAGAGGAGTGGAAATGTTGTGAGCATGCTATGTGTACAAGTCCACAATTCTAATGAAAACAGCAAAGTATGACATGCTAATGAAAGAAACAACTTTGGTCAGCTTCTTCTCTGTAAATAAAAATTGATACGCATAATGGGGAAATTGCGTTTTGGCTTTTTGTTCTTGTTCTCACTATTAATCTGATTTATTTCAGAAATTACCATTCACTTAAATACTGCTTATTTAAATGGTCTTTAAACTCTTCTGTAGATAGTTTTATTCCCTCCATCCTGATCACTATCACCTTTCTTTTAGCAGTTTAAACAGCAAGCTAAGCAAGTAAAAAGGCAGTAAGAGACCATATGAGAAATAAGTAGTAAGGTGGTGGAAAGGCAATGCTCCACAGCCATAAGGCTGTGGCACAGCTGGGAGGAAGGAGGTGGCAATCTGAACATTGGAATCTGGTCCTGTTCATTCAGGGACTACAGATGGACAGCTCTGATAAACTACACAACATCAATGCGAACTAAGATAACATCAGCAAGAAGGGAAGTGGTTAGCATTTAACCAGAAAACACAGTAACTACTCATTCTGAAAGACATAAGACCCTAATTTTGAGGCAATTAAAACTGTTTGACAGGGCACTGTAAAATACACTGCAGAGGAGGTCTGAGACAGCAGGGAAACCAACAGCTTGACCTTGATTTTCTGCTCTTACATTTCAGGATAGAAGTATTTCTTCATGATCATCCACATAAGATTTCCATTATCAAAAAACTACACAGGCTAACTAAAAGTGAGATTTCAAAGAACAATTTATTGAGAATACCTTTATTAATGAGTCAAAAATATTATCCAGTGAATGTAAATTTAGTGATGTTACTGTAAAAAAATATTAACAGGCAAAATTCAGCAGAGCAAGGCTACATATTTAGGTTTTAATAGCAGACAGATTCTTGCTTTCTCAATCAGTCCCTGAGAAAATACAGAAACATTTTGTGGTTTGCGTATTTTGTTTGCTTGTTTTGTTTATGTCTGTCATCATGAGTACTTTTTCTACTTTCACCATCTTTACAACAACATAGTAAAAAAGACATTAAGAAAACACTACTTGGGGGCAACAACAGAAGGAAAGCTTTGACACAAAATGACAGAAGTTATTTTGTCTCAAAGTTTTCTTACTCAAAGGAATTCTTCCGTTCAAAAAGAGACAGTCTCTTAAAAGCTGTGCACTAAATATATGTAAGATAAAGACCTCCCTATCAGAGGTATTTCCAGTTAGGAACTGTTTCGTACAGACAAATTAACTTTGTAAAGAACTTGATGCTATGGGACTAATTTTATTAGTTCAAAACTTATAGGACTGAATTAATGAAGCTTTCATATGTGGCTTGGTCTACACGTTTTAAGCCTGATCCATAACCTACCGCCAACCTTCAAACTTCAGCTCATGTTATATGAAAAAAAAGCTTCTATGAAACGGAACAAGGCAGTATTCTGCTTGGACTGAAGTCTGAAGTATTAGTAACTTTAAAGTTATCATCTCATTCTACAAAGTCTATTTCTAGCAAATAAAGTTATATAAATTTTATGTGCTTATTAAGAAAATTGTGGAAAAAACACTACAGTTAAATTCACACAGTCTAAGGGTTGTAAACAAGGACTGTAACAATACTGACTAAATCCATAACATTCTGATTTTCTGAAATAGAACAAATTACGGCATATAGTATAGAATTAATTCTAGAAATCAAAGCTCATATGTGAAAGGGAAACAGTTTTTTTTTCAAACAATTCCATAAGAAATACTATCCTGCTCTATTTATGCTCACCTTCAATATGGTCCCTATCAGATTCCAATTCCACTCAAGGTTCTCTTTATGGTTGAGAACCTGGCTGTCTCTCAGATTCATTACAAGTGCTTCTTCTGTATCCTGGAACACATAAGTTACATCAAGTTTCCTTGCATCATTGTTGTCTGTTGTTGCATGATACACTTAATGTTCATGTAACAAAGTAATTTGCATCTTTGAGTAAATTGTATGGTTGTAGTACTGCATTATTAATCTAACAACAGGATATAAATGACTCAATTATATGAGAAAGTAAAGCTGGAGGATAGGGTGGAACTTAAGTCTCCAAAATACATCAAATTAGTTTTGAAGGCTCAGCAATGGTAATACCTTTAAAATAAAGATGTCTTTCTGCACACGGTATTGATCTCTTTTTTGGTGTGTTGAGATTGATTTCTGAATAATATGATCTAAATGGAGGCTGTAAGGTTTAGGCCCTCTTTTCTTCATCTCATGAAAGCGTTTTAAGCAGTTCAGCGCAGCACTTGCTCGTCTGATTGGAAAAAAAAGACTACAATCAATATTTGACAACTGTTATCCAACTAAAACAACTCCAGTGCTACATACTAAGTTAAAAAAGCGTAGCTCAAAAAAGAATTCACTAACAATTCTGAAGCCAAGAAAGAGACAATACTTATCCTGATGCAAGTTTTCATACGTTCATAAACTTTGGTCTTGTATTGAAATTACATAGAATTATCTTTGAGAATTTCTGGTACTGAAGAATGAGCCTTACTAACACCTTTTCTGCTGCACTGATATTACTGGTGCTCTTCAGACTTCACAGAGGAATAGAACAGTTCAGTTGAAAGGGACTTACATAAATCTAGAACATATTGCAAACTTAAGTTGGTAAAGTATTTTAAGATGTCATTGTAGATCAACATGCTGCAATGTAAGTTTGAGGGGGCTAGCTTTGACTTTGTCTAATGAAATACTTATTTTAACCTCTTTTCTCCCATGAAATCCAACCCTGAGGACACAGCAGTGTATTATCAGAAGTATCGTTCTTCCTCCATATACCTGAACAGCTTAGCAACACCATGTAAGAAAATTCCCAAGGAAAGAAACAAAAATGACAGCTGATGAGGGCAGAACAGTTAACCTAAAAATGCTGCTACTACTAAACAGTGCCAAGCAAATAAAATAATGAAGTATAAAAATTAGGAGGTAAGCCTGTCTTTCCTATAAGGAAAAAATTCATAGGAGAGGAAAATGTTTTCAACTTTGTACATCTTCAAATACATAAGTACCTGTAAATTTGTTCATCTAAATTACATAAATTTTATATATGAAAAGGCTTACAGGTTTTCAGAGCATGAAACAATGCAATTGACAAAATATTTTTCTTCTAACAAAAATGACTGTCTTCAAACACCAAAATCTTTTGGTGACATCAACCTTCAAAACCAGAAAAACAGGCAGAAGCTTTCTGGAAGCAATCTGCAGTAGCATTTACCATTTTACAGCAGCAGTTTGGAAAGATTTTGTAATTTATCACTAAAAACACAAAAGAAAATGTGAAGTTATGATACTTTATCAGAATACTGAATTGACAAGCCAGATCAAGAATGGCAAGAACGATAACAAAAACACTTCCTATAACTTACTATATGAAGAAAAAAATACAAACAGAATTCAAATAGTCTAGAAAGAAATGCAAATAAGAGCCCTGAGTTGCAGGCACACGTTTTAAGGAAACTGGAATCTAAAAAAATGACTTTCTTCAAGTAGCTTAAATAATGTTAAGTACCCAGGAGATGGCATTTAATGCCATTATTTTATTTTAACTTCAGAGGTTAAATTGCAAGATTAAGAGATGGATAGAGAAATTCTTTAAAAATATGTAAAAAAAAAAAATCTAAAATGACAAAATTTACTTTTCTAGTTTAACAAGGAGCCAGAAGCTTCTGTAAACATTCGTTTCAAATCATATGCCTGCATATACACCTTTTAGCATGAGTTCCATACAGTTCCTAATAATGCTTAACAACATGCCACTGCAGTATGCTGCACTACATTCTATAAAATTTGTTTAGTCATTCTTATAGTTAAGTGGTATTTAAAAGAACTGCAAAAAAAAAAACAATGCAAACTTCAATAAATAAAGCAGCAGAAAGTTTTAAACAAAGGTACTGTTGTACAATGACAATTTTCTGCTGAAGAAAAAGGATCCATGAAACAGATCTGTACCTATTTTATATGTTGCTCACACCTATAATGATTAACTGATTTGGTCAATTACTGTTTAATTACCTATAGATAAACAAAAGCTGAAGAGAAAAGTTGGCACAGGCATTCTTAGATTAGAAGCTTTAATTATATCAAAATGCCAAAAAGAGAAATATGAAACAATAGAGATGTTAAACAAACAGAACATGATTCAGATGTTGTTTGGTCAAACAGCAGCTTATAGTCCATTTAGGAAAGTTACACTGGAAAAATATTGCAGCATATGCAGAAGCGTTCTGAAAAAAATATGAGAATTTTCTAAATTACTAAGCTGTTAGAGTAATATACTTCTGGAATCTTACTAGAGAAAGTTTCTAGTGCATGAGCCAAAGAGCATTTATATGTGGATGCATTTGTATTTAAAGACAGCAATTATTTTAACCAACAGAAAGTTTGTAATGCAGGTTTTCATTCAATTGCAGGAAAAAGCATGTATTTTAGCTTTTTAGTACAACTTGGAATTCTTACAGTCTTTTCTCTTTCATGATGTCAAAAGATGCTGCCATGTTCATTAACGTCGGTAAGCAGTGCAGGTGATGGCTGTGAGAATGAGGAAGGATTGTGTTTGCCTAAACAACAAAAAAAGACTGGTTAGAATAACCTACTACAGTATTTTCAGCCATCTTGTAAGGATCAGAATTTGTAGAACCTATTATTTTTCATAACACTTTCACAAATGAAAAAAAGAATTTTGTGTAACATCACAGCAATAATTAAACATACCATTTTGAATATTTTTATCTATTTAATCAATCTGAAGCACAATCTAATGTAATTGAAGAATTTCAGGACTTGGAGCCTTTTTCTTCCTTTAGTAGTTTTTGAAGTGGTAGCATGCAGAAACATGCGTAACAGCTGTCCTTACACCATATGTACAGAAAGTACTAATACATATAAAAGTACTGATATATATATATATATATATATATGTATGTGAAAATCAAAAACAAACTGATTATGTCCATTCAATACATATAACTACCAATGATTCTACACACACAAAAGAAATATCCAATGAACCAAGTTAACTTAGTTAAGTTACTTGATATTTAGTTCTTTTTACTTTAGGATACACAGATGTACAAATATTTTTTAAAACGATGAAGAATAATGAAGACAAAAGGCTTACTTCAATTTCTTAAAGGTATCTGTTCAATATTTTGATAGTCATTTCAGACTAATCACCTCTTCAGAAATACAAAAAATGACTGCGCTTTGCAGCAAACCATGAACTGATGCTGCAATTCATCTAACCAATCCTGCACAAAAGCATTCCAGAAAGCACCCAAAATAGCATATGCAAATCCATACTCCTCTGTTTAAGCTACATAAGTAAATGAACACTCAAGAAATTGTGCCAGTTATTTAAAGAAAAACATCTCTGAAAATACTGAAGAACATATTTGTTCTCGTTTTGACCCATACTGCTGAGGTGAGATATTGTAAATCACTGTGGTAATAAATAATCATATATTTGAGAACTGCGGTCTTATTTTCTGTGGTAATTAAGAGCAGGCCAATCCTGTACCAGTGAAATGAATCAATAATTTGAAGATACAGAATACATATGATAAGTTAAATTTTATAAGACAAAGCTTATTTTGATATGTTACCATCTTTTCTGGAGTAGCATGATTATTTGGAAAAAAGACAAAGCAATCCCCAAGAAACCTAATCAAAAAGTACTCCAGTACAGATGATACTCTTGCTGGCAAGAAAAGAAGTGAAAATGAAAGAACTGTTTGTCAAATAAGGTAAATCACATCACATTCCCTCAGGGGTCTGTCTTAGGATTAGTCCTTGTGACACAGATAATGGGATTGAGTGCACCCTCAACAAGGTTGCAGATGACACCAAGACGAGTGGTGCAGTTGATACAAAAGGAGGAAGAGATATTATTCAAAGGGACCTGGACAGGCTGGAGAAGTGGGCTCATGTGAACTGAGTGAGTTTCAACAAGTCCAAGTGCAAGGTGCTGCACCTGGGTCAGGGCAATCCCAGACATGAGCACAGACTGGGAGAAGAACACACTGAGAGCAGCCCTGCAGAGAAGGACTTGGGGGCTCTGGTGGACAAAAAGCTTGACACGAGCCAGCAGTGTGTGCCTGCAGCCCAGAAGGCCAACTGTGTCCTGGGCTGCAGCAACAGAGGGGTGGGCAGCAGGTGGAGCGAGGGGACTGTGCCCCTCTGCTCTGCCCTGGTGAGGTCCCACCTAGAGTGCTGCATCCTGGGCTGGGGCCCCCAGCATGAGAAGGATGTGGAACTGTTGGAGCAGGTCCAGAGGAGGACCACAAAGATGTTCAGAAGCCTGGAGTACCTCTCCTGTGAAGACAGGCTGAGTGCTCAGGATGTTCAGCCTGAAGAAGAGAAGGCTCTTGGGAGACCTCAATGCAGCCTTTCAATACTTCAATGGGGTCTTATAAAAAGGAATGAGAAGGACTCTTTACTTGGGTAGACAATGAAAGGACAATGGGGAATGGTTTAGAAATAAGAGGACAGATTTAGACTAGGCATTAGGAGGAAATTCTTCTCTGTAAGGGTAAGTTAAGCACTGGTGCAGGTTACCCTGCAAAGCTGTGGATGCCCCATCCCTGGAGGTGTTCAAGGCCACAATGGATGGGGCCTTGGCCAACCTATCTAGTGGGAGGTATCCCTGCCCATGGCAGCGGAGTTGGAACTAGCTGATCTTTAAGGTCCCTACCTACCCAAGCCATGCTATGATTCTGTGAATTCACATGACTAACAGCTCCTCAGCAGGCTCAGAAGTAGCCCTTGCATGTATATGAAAAAACATCAACACAGAAAAATTACATTAAGTTCTGTTTTTCAAGCACTTTTTTTTTTTCTTTAGGGGGGAGCAGGGGATGGGGGATGTTTGGTTGGTTGCTTTTAATCTGGAACAGTCTAGCACAACCTGAGCAAGACGAATACAGTAAAATAAAATAAAAATTAAAATTCCTTCTCTCCAGCTGCTGAAGTATAAATCCTGTCAGCTTGGAACGGTAAAGACTTTAATCTTGTTGGGATTCAGCAAAAAGGAAAAGGAGAGGTTACTGTAAAACATGTTAGAGAGAAGGAGGAGGCATGAAGCAAGGTTCCTTCAAGCTTCTCTGTGCAGAGGATACCAATAGCAATGCTGAAAGATCACTGCAAGTTGAGTCACTTGAATGTAATATGAAATGCCCCAGCTGAAAATGCAGAAGTTTCATCTGCCCAGTCTGTGTGACAGAAAGCTAAGCATGCTGCCAAAGCTACCATTACTCAAAGAAAAGCAAAAATCAGCAGTAGACTTTTCCCAAACACAGTAACGTAACAGATGAGTGAGTTTGAAGGACTCCAGCTTAAAAATACAACTGGATACTAAGGCAAGGAGAACTGGTGAGAATTTGAGAGCTGGGAATCAACTGCCTTCCCATCACAACATGCTGTTTTTAATAATATAAAATGACATATGGTGTCATAAAAAATAACCCATTATTTTGATGAAAAGTGCATGTTTGAAGTTCCTAGAAAATTCAAAGCTATACTAGAAAAATAACTATTTCCATTGAGGTACTTATACTACTTATTCTCAGCAAGAAGTCTTACTTACCATGTGCAAAAGTTCTCCTAAAAGGATAGTTGCTCTAACAGATACATGGTCATCACTACTTGTGATCACTTCAACCAGACCCTTCAAAAAAGTTTAAAAAATTACAACATTTAATGTAGGATGTATGTAATACATCTTATTTAAAAGTTTATAGGATGGAAATAGCAAACATCTATTCATACTTAAAAGTCAATTAATTACCTCTAGAAGTCCATTGGTGATAAAAGCTGAGAGTACTAAAGCCAAGTAATTATCCATGAGATCAGGCCTGAGAGGAAAAAAGTACGTAAACAGTTTAGAAAATACATTTATTATTTCTGAAGGAGACAATTATTGTCAACAACAAATATCAACAGTTTAGACTGAGTTCATGAAATGCCCACCTTGACCTGGCTCTGTGGGGTAATATAGTTTTAGCTTCAGCAGCTACGAAGCCATCAGAGAGTCTCCAGCAGTCCTGAAACCTGCTTGGATCTGTAACAACAAAATACATATGTATAAATATATATATAAGCAATAGATATATGAAAACAATGAACAGTGTTAATTATAACCCTGAATTTTGGTGTTATTTTAATTGTAGCCTGTGGGTAAATAGTTCTTGTCAACAGCTGCTTCTTCAGGCTCCATATCATAGAAAATTTTAGTTCACAAGGAATCTCCAAAAAATCATTTAAACCACACTCCTAGATAAAGTGATGCTAACTTCAAAGCTAGCAAAAGGACTTTAAATATCAGCCAAAATAATAAAACTTCAAATTCCTAAGCACACACTTTAACAGAAATCATAACGCCTATCATTTTAAAATTTACATCCACTTGTAGCAAAGTCACCAGTCTGCAACAAAGAATAATTTATTTGTAAGTGGAACAAGGATTAAGCTTTTATAATCATACCATGACAGACATTTATAACCAGAATTTGAATAAGCTGGACAGACATGCTCCTTTCAGTCTCATGATTCCGTGAGACACAGTAGAGGATACTCTTAAGGTTTAAAAACAATAATTCTAAATATAAAAGATTAACCTTACTAAATACAGACACGAAAACATGTATTTGCCCTATGAAAAGTCTGCTGAATTGCAGAGGGGATAATTAGCAGATACACAATATATAGAAAAAGAAAATGTAGTAAGTTTTATGTGACATTTACCAACACTTCCATGCTACCAATGCTTTTAATACTATAAAGATGACTGATTTCTAGTATTGTACATTGTAGTATTGTACACAGTTTTGTGTAAATGCTCCATTATGCTCCACTACTGCCTGCAACAATCAAGTTATATAGTAAGGTTATCAGAAAAAGTAAACTGGTAGCTTTATTGCCGCTGAACGGTTGATAAGAGATTTTAAACTGGACTTCAGAATACCCAGTGAATTCAGTGATGAAGCAGTTAATACATTGAAACAGTTAATACAGCCAACCAGCTGACATAATCTGCAACAGAGGAAACAGTAAAGTGTTCAAGTTTCTATGAGTTTAACAGACAGAATTCCTGTGTGAACTACTCCTAAATACTTACCTACACTGAGAAGTGCCTCAATAAATTCTTCGGCAACAACAGGGAGAGGAAGGCGAAATATATCATAAAGAACCTCAAGCAGACCTCTCTGCCAAAAAAACAAAAACAAAACAGCCAATGTATAGATTTTAAAATGGTCTTTTTGTTCATTATTTAAAAAAAAGAACTTGAAATTCATTTCTATAAAATTGGTGTCTATTTGGGGGTTTCTTTTTTGGATTACATGCTTATTTGAATATCTAAGGGAATCTGGATAAGAGAAGTAGGGAAGGCGCTTGCTCATTTAAAGTTGTGCTACACTGCAACTGTGAATCCTACAGAAGCTTAGGCTACTTTGATAACTTTTTTTTTTTTGACCAGTCATTGCTGTGTCCATCAACTTTGACCGCTGGTCAAAGCAAAAAAATGTATGCACTACTGATCTAGTCTGAGTCCATGCAAGTGATGGACTTTCATAATGCCTGCTCTCTGCTTCTATTATCAGCAGACCGGAGACTGTTCAAAGTACGAACAAGGAACTAAAGAACATAAAACCAAGAACAGCTGAAAGCATTTCACAGTACATTAATACATTTTTAATTTCATTTAAATCACAATGCAATTCTAGAGTTAATTCAGTATCTACATAAAATAATGAAAAGGAACTTAAAAACTAAACGAAAAACCTTCATTTACTCCCATATTCTATAATCTATAATTTCACTGCCAAAAATATTTGAGCATATACAAATCTTATATTACTTCCCCATGTCTTTCCCTTTTTGTTCCTCCATTCCCTCCTGTCAGACAGACAGGGTATGCTCTGATTCACACTTCATGGACACAGAAAGAACAAGTAGCTTGTTTAAGATCACACAGAAAATTTATACAAGAATTATAGACTCGAATTTGGGGGCCAAATAAACTTGAGGCTAGTAGTCTCTCAGTTGGAGACTGTTTAGACCACTAAATTTTTTAAAAACATAATTTATGTGAAGACATCCAATAGTATACCTATTCCAGTGCTAAATATTTACCACATACCCGTATTTCCATATTTGGTATGCAGAGTACCCCAATAAGAGACTGAATCCCAGAATTCCCAGGTTTGCACAGACTGATAATACCTAGAGAAAACATTAAAACCATAATAATCACTCAGACAAGAACAGCATTAGGCATGTTGTTAAATTTAATTTCTAGTTTGACTGCAAGTACAAATGACAAAAAGATTTTTCACCTTTGTGTGTCACTACAAAATAATGTTTAACTAAACTAATCATACAACTGTTCCCTCACTAAGAACTATAGCTACTTTTGCCCTTTCTACTGTGAGCAGCATATAAGTTATTCATTTGTGTTGAAAAAATGGCAGAAAAGACAAAATCGCAAATAAAAATTCATTCTTAGAAATGAAACATATATTTAGAACTGAGCACTTCCTGAATCAAAAACTGTATTGTAACCTAACCAATTATTTCATTTAGTTCTTTTTAACCTCTGGTGAATTCTAAACAGCAAGTTTAAGCATAATTGGAATAACACTCCCTATCCATCATTTTAATCATTTTTACACGAATGAGAAGGGCTTATCTTCGTAGTTTTTAACACAATTTTTTTCATAGAATCTTTTAGCCTCTCTCATAATTTGCTCCTTTTATACTGTATTTCACTCAATGAGTTTAATAGTTCAATATTAACAGGGCAAACCCTCAAATTCTTTTTAAATGTTATAGAATACCGCCTGAAGCTAATCATTACATTGATTTTTAAGGCTCAATTTAAGGCTCACTGTAAAAGTATCACTGCAACTAATGTATTCCAAGACAATTGCTTCTTCAGTCACTTGACCTGTTCAGGCTTATGGCATTAATTCTAAGCATCTGAATTTTGGAAGATACAGCAACATGAGAGAAACTGAGTTCTGAAACAGAGAAACTCATTCTTAGAACCTTCAAACTTGTCACAAACTCCCCAATCATTTGAGAATATGAGACACTTCGAAGGACACATGGATATTAAATTAAGCTTACTGATTCTTTCAAGACTGTTAAAAAAAAATAAATACAAGTAGTCTTAAAATCAGAAAAGTTTTCTATAATTTCTGAACCTTTTCTACGTATAACCTGTAAAGAGCCAATCCAAAATGTTGGTAGGTAGTCATATAATCTGATTAGTTTATTGTGAGACATTGACTTGACTAAAATAATGAGAAATCCCCTGAGGCATTATTCACGTTAGGTACTGTAATGTTACAGGGCAGGGCATAAGACAAAATGAAAAAGCCCACTTTATTTGAGAAATGTTTTCTACATGAAAAAAAAATCAAAAAATAGTTCCATACTGGAATTTATCTTCAACTATAACACTTAGTAAAAGCAGGTGCTAATTAAACGTTACTGTTGAAAATTCTTTGTATAAACAAATAAATTCATTATTCACACTGACAGAACTATCTCAAAGGCAAATTCTTACAATATGATGCTATTTTCAACATCCTTTCACCGACCAAATAGCAAGTACCACCACCAAAGTAAAGCTGACACGGTATTCTATACTGAAGATAGAGCTGCAGCTTGCTGGCAAAGAAAGCTATGTATATGTCCTCTAATTTCACGATTGGTACCAAAACATACTTTGGTACCATTACAGAAAGTAGTGACAGAAAAACCAAGAGAGAGATTCTGTAGCTAAATAAACCATTCTATTACACTGAAAAGTCCTTGCCAGTTATTCAACTTGAAGAAATCTTACCTGCCCATGAACGAAATGCTGCCACTATCCCCATTTTGCTAGCTAGAAATCGTGCTTCCCTGTCCTCTCTGTCATAAAACAACAGATCACAATACACAGTTAATTACTGTAAAATAGTGTTATTAATACACCAAATAAAAAATAGTTAAGAATTTTTTGTATGGGACACAAAATCAGGAATAAGAAAAATCTTATGCCTATTTTTGTGTATATATATATATATTATTTTATATATATATATATATATATATATATATATATGCAATATGCGCACACAAAGACTGGAGTTTTTAAGCATTGATACGTTTTCTTTTCAGTGGAGTTTCTACAGCAGGAGGCTCACAAAACAGCTATATTTGGCCAATCAGATCAATCACTCTGAAGACTACAGTAGGGGCCTAAGGATTTGGGCACTGATTCAGTTACACTGACCTAAGCATCTATTGCCATTTGATGATTACAAAACAGGAAAAACCTAAACCCGTTAAGTCAACAGAGATGAGGTCCCTATTCCCCGTTAAGTCAATAGAGATGAGGTCCCTATTCCAAGCTCCTACACAAAGAAGTTGTCAGATATGAGACCAGTTATATACTCAGGGCATTATCAAGTCAGTTCTCAGAAATTCCCAAGGATGAAAGTTACAGTACTTGGACAGCCAGTTCCAATGCTTAACTAGCCTCACAGAAATTTGTTTTTCTTATATCAAGTTGGAACTTTTTTTCCTTATTTTTCCCTGCCATTTCATGCCCTCACACCATGCACCAACACGAAGGGTCAGACTATGTCTATAAAATCTCTGCAGGGTATTAGACCCAAAACTTGATGCAGTGGTTTACATGAGTTTCAGCATGGAAAATAAAAGACAAAAACCACATCCCTCTGGATGTCAGGGATGCCCTTGATTCTATCAGTTATTCCCCCAGTTTGTTATCATCTATAAAATTTACAAGAGCCTATCCTATCCTCCAGGTTATTCATGAAGACATTAAACAGCATAGCCTTCAGGCTAAAACCCTACGGTACTCCACTTTTAACTGGATCTCACTTAGTACAATGCCTTAATTACTACCCTCTGAATCTGACTGAACTAACTAGCACTAATATACTCCCATTTGGGATATTTAAAGCAAAGGAATCTATACCTGAAGAAAGTTGGTTGCTTATACCTAAATATGAATTGAAAGAAATGTAATGGGGGAGGGAAGAAGAGTAAACCTAATTTCCCTTTTAAATCTTAAATTCCTAACAATGTTTTAGGAAATTACATTCTAAACAGCTATTGTGTTCAGCTTCCTATAGTTTAGTGTTAGTTCATTACTGTTATTTTGTCACTTTGGAAAGAAGAATAGTTTAATTATAGTTATGTGAACACAACTAGTAGCACAACTAACAGCAGTAACACTTACTTGAGCTGTCCTTCTGCTGTGTCTGGATTATGCCTGTAGTGAAAATCTGTGTAAGGAGCTAAAATTCGCTAAACAAAAAAAAAAAGACATGCATTACTTTCAGATAAGAATACAGTTAATGGGTTTTGCCCTTTAATCAGTCCCACTCCGATTTGTTATGTTATTTCTTCTTCATAAATCATTAAGCTGTTAGTCTGAAATGTTGCATTTTAAGTATTTGGCATCAACACATTGTGAGATCTGAAGCAAAAATTAAACATTTTCATCAGCAATACAATGTTTAATTTCTGTCACTAAATAAGTAAAACTGAACCCACCTCTAATTCTACATCTGCTCGCACATATTGTCGGGTCTTTGGATGATTAATGAGGTGTAAAACTGTAGTTATCAGAGCCTCATTTATTCGGCTTAGCTGACAATCAATCACATTTTTCAAGATGGTACTTAAACCACCCCGAAGAGCCACCACCTCAGGATTCTGAAGTGCTAAATGACAAAAAAAAAAAAAAAGTAACTTCAATGAGTGATATGAAAGAAAGAAAACATTTCAAGATTTTCAGTATGGAAAAATACGAAGCTGAAAATACTTAAAATCAGCACCAACATAGGGATTTAGTATAGCTCACTGTTCAAGTAACTTCTACATGGACACATACTGATTTTCAGAAGACAGCTAATCACAGTATCCTTTGTAAAAGAAAAAAAAATTAGTTCTCTGAACACTGGTACATTTGATTGCACTTCATGTATGGAGTTCTCATGACATTCAATCCATTCATTTTTAGAAACATCAGCTGTAGCAAGGAAGTATTAAGATAACACAAAAATTGGCAAGTATTGAAGTACAGCACAGTACTTGAAACCTTCAGGTACTTAACATTTTTAGTGTAAGTTAACATGATTTTGTTTTACATCAACCTAATGACTAAGTTTATGAAACATTTAGAACTCCTAACATCTGATTCAATACTTACTAAACAAATTCCATTTATTATATGAAAATTCTAATATAAACCTCCCAGAAGAAAAATCCTAAAAAAACCTGAGGACACCCATATAAGGTTTTCTTAATTAGATTCCAATTATCTTACCTAGTTCACAGATAATGGCTATACATGCTCGAACCATTCTGTCTCTTTCTTGAAGACCATCATTTCCAACTGCTATCAAAGAATTAGTAATAGAGCTGGGGAACAATGAAGCATTCACAGTGATCATCTGCCAAAAAGAAAGAAAAACTGGTTTCTTTATAATTCTCTAAATATACTCACAGATTCACCATCCTTTTGTTTCCTAGATAACACCAGACAAATCATTTTATAAATTAACTTGGCTATATCCTGAGAATACTAAAACTATTTCTATTGCTCTTGAAACTGTTAATTTAACATTATCTTCCTGCTTCTGTTTTTTATGTTTTAATTTTGTTACTTACTAAGATAAAATAAAGATGACTGCTGCAGACAGAACCATTGCTGCCTTTTTCACATCTTTTCCAAGAATTTCTTTATCAACAGAGAACTCTATCCACTGTCAAAAAGTAATCTACACACTCTTCTAAAAGATTAATTTATACTGCGCCAAATTCCTCAGGATCTATTCAACTTTAATTAAACTTGGCTTAATTAGCCAAGACTGAAATCTCATGTTTTACAGGGACTTTCATGAGGGTAGAGACAGTCACAGACTACAAAAAAGAATAGTCTAAACTAAAGCTGCTGCTACCTTATTTGGATTCACCCCGAATGAGCAAGACTCTATGAACACGAAGAACAAAAACAACTAACTCCCCAACACAGATAAGGGTTTGAATACAAAGACTAAGTAGGTATTTCCTCACATTTCTCAGTTTGATAAAATTAAATATGCATGTCTCCTCCATACTATGGAACATGAACATTTACTGAAGTTAAACAGATATATTACTAAGGGGAAATACTTTTTTTTTTTTATCTGACTGTTTTGAAAGAGAACAACATAATGTTATTGCCTATCCAACCACATCACATTTTCTACTAATAAAAAATTAAGATGTCAAAAAAAATGCTCCATCAAACATCTAAGCACATTTGCAAGCAAGTTTCCTAAAGATTTTATTTAATATCATTTAATTTCCAACAAAACTAGGCTTATCTGCATTACTTTCCCAAAACTGATTTGTGTTACACTCATTTTACAGCTCCCTTAGATGTCTTGCAGACATGTGCTCAGCCAAAGGAGATTGAACATTGCAAAGAAGGAGGAACGTTTAAGTGAGAAGAGACAAACCATTATGACAAATATTTGAACACTTTAACAAGTTTATTTTTAAGACATGTTTTTGAGAAACTTCTTGTCAAATATAATGTTGTTACCCACAAAACAGGAAGCCTTAAGATAGGGCTCTAAGAAAACCCATACTCTTCCCCACCCACACAGTCTTTCATTTTTACAACAGCAAAAAGTATTAAAGAAAAAGAATTAGCAATAGAATGGGTGTACTAATTTACTTTTTCTACTGACATTAACATGTAATTAGCTTGTGTCCACAAGCAGCATCTTAAAGATGTTTTATTATGGGAGAGTTTTTAGGTTTTAAGAGACGGAGAAAGATTTTGTTTTATACTCAATTTCAAGTACTTCAGTAAACACAATTATTGGATTTGTTTTCATTCTGCTCTATAGACTTAAATACAATTTTAAAGACAAAGTAAAGAGATGCAAGGTGAACTATAAGCATGTATGATGAAGTCTGTAACAAAGATTGTGAAGTCTTTGAAGATCCATTAATAAAAAAGAATAGAAGGAAGGTGGTTCATATATCTCACCCTCACTTCTGCTTCAAAAATAAAACAACCTGCCTCTTAAATTATTTTAAAAGATGGACAGTTTGATGATGACTACTATTAGATAGAGAAATGCATTTTGAAGTAACTTCATATCACGGTTCTCATGGCTGAAGACACTTAAGTTACTAAGCTCTCACTAAGAAACACCGCTGACAGGACAAAACATTACCAACAGAAGTACAGTTGAAAAGAGAACATAAGCACTCAAAGCCCTCAAAAAAAATAATCAGAAACCAAATTTTAAAAGTTTAAAGTTGTTTTTCTTCTCTCTTGTTCACTACCTTAACCTGCACTTTAAGAACATCTTTATAATTTTTTGATTATGAGAAAACAGGACCAGAATTTTACATTTTGCTGTTCTTCTTTATGAAAAGGATATGAAAAAATAAATGATTTAAAATTCTGTATCTGTACTATTCTCAAGCATTTTTGCTACCAAATTGAAGAATTGTGTGTAGAATTTAGAATGGAAAAGCATGGTTCTGAAGTGCTGACAAGACCCAGTTCAGATCTTCAACAGCTCACCAGATAACAGCATATTCTGTGTAAATTAATTAATTCTGCCTGTTTGTAATATTTGCAGTTCATTCTCCTCTCTTATACCTTTATACAATCTTTTAGGGATCCTGGTGTCAAACAATGAAGCGTGAGCCGAATAAAAACAATTCATCATAAACATGTTTCCATTCCATCTTCAGATTGAAGTTGTTACAGCCTGACACTGAAACTCTCTTTAAACCAGATTAAGAAAGAACGTGTATAAATGGATACTTCCTGAAGTACCTCTGCAACTTACACAGATGATCCATTTTTTTGCCCTTTTTTTTTTTTTTAAGCTCTAAAACTTTTAACAATTGTGCCAAACAAGCATATTGTCTCTTCCGAAAGAGAAAAGAAATTCCATATCAAGGCTCCATATTTTCAACCTAAACATATATGTGTGTATACATACACACAAATTAATTAACACTACGATCCTTGGTAACAACTTCCAAATAATTCAAGACTTCCCTGAGTCTTTTTTTTTTATGGTGTTCAGTAGAAGAATGAGCAAGACAAACAACAGCAACAATAGAAAAGTCCAGTACAAAGGCATAGTACTACACTACCTAAGAAAATAGCTTCAGTAGCTGTAATATGCTAGTCTCTCAGGGATCAGCTTACAGTATCCTGCAAAGACTAAGTATGTTTTATCATGTAACTGAGAAAACAATGGATAGCATTAACCTCTAAGGATAAAGCAGTAAGGCCAGAAGCATTACTTGATCTGATTATCCCAACAATAGCAATTTGCCTTATTTCTTAAGTGGCAGAAAAATCTTGAATTCTTCATTCATAGATACTTAAAGATGTTACAAAATCAAGTTAAATCATAAGAAGAAACTTAATACCTTTATAACCCTTGCAGTCATCATTTGATGAATTGTTTCCAAATCTTACTCAGTTTTATGTCCATCAAAATAAAAACCAGGAGATTTTGTAAACCACTCAAGATTCTCAGTCATAAGAGATTAAAATCAAAATAACTCAGCACTTTTTTTTTTTTTTTTTAAATTAACAGCTATAGTTTCTTCTCACATGATAAAATGAGAGGCTGTGAAAAAGATCTACTAGTGGAGAAAACCTGGAGTCAACACAGCTGACTACCAGAGCTGATAAGACCACATATACTTAGATTTTACCTTTCTGACTAATCGAAGTGCTTGTGTTCTTTCTACTTCATTACTCTGCTGTATGTCAATGCACCTAAAATAAGTTAAAAAACATTTTTGTTTATATCAAAAGCAACTTTAATCTTTTCTCTTAATATCTCACATTAATAATATTCCTACAACTGAATAAACAGAAGATAAATTATTATGAATGATTGTTTAAAAGTCTGCTTTTCAGTAAACATATTCATGGTTCGACAATTAGTTCCAGTTTATATTATTTATAGTTATCCTCATTACAAGTAAATCACTAGAATGCTCTCGAACATACAATAACAAAGCATAACAGTTTCAACAATTCTGAGCTAGCTGCATGTGTCATTCCAAATAAGACTAAACAAAAGCATTTGTAATATTTCAATTTTTTCTATATGCTTTCAGAAAAATCCCTTTGCCAAGAAAATTTATCACCACACTAAAATTGAGCATCTGTGTATATATGAAAACAAACACATACATATCTGAACATTAAATCGGGTAATTTTAACAAAGGAAGCTTTTAACAAAGGAAGCACTATAAATGATAAGTAGATCTAGTCACCACACTGGCCTTATTATCTCATTGTTAGTTTGCCCTTTGGTATCTTTATGTTGGGTCATGGTTTATACTTAGATTATAAATTCTTGGGCTTGAACTACTTTTTTGTCCTGACTTTCTACTAGAGGCCCTAAAGCAGTATGATGATGTTAAGAATTGGAACAAATCTCACAAAACTAGAGACATGAAAATTACTATGTTTTCAATTTGCTAATAATACTGTGGACTAATTTACAATTAATGGCATTTATGATACAAAAACGTTTTCAATGTGTCTAATTTTTTAGATTATTCTTAGGATATCATGTACTAGGATGGCATTTTATTTGGATTAGCTGGTGTGATGTATTATCCAAGTTTTTAAAGAAGTACATTATTCACACTGAAAAAAAACCAGACTTTTATAAAAGTATATGTGAAGAATGTAAGAGGATACAAAACCATGTTTTCTCACCTCTCTCAACAGAAAAAAGTAAGTACGATTTTACAATTTATGACAAGAAGGGAAAATTACCTTGCTATCAAGTAATCCACTTTCAACTTTAGCACCTTCTGGAGAATACTGGAGTCTCGAATGAGATAGCGGAGGGCTCGCAATCCTGCTGCTCGCACCTCTTTTGCTTCATTTAGTAAAGCTAACCGCAGACTACAATGAAAAAAACAAAGGGAGCAAACAATTATATAGCAGCAGGTATACTTCACCGTCTGAGATACAGATGCTACCAGCTTGTTTAAAATAAGTCAGATTTTTGAATAGAAATACCCTAAATTAATTTTGAGATATTCACCTGTACGGTCTAGAAGACAAACCCTCACCTTGCCAGCAGATGTAGACAATATATTAATCAGAACAAAGTCAGATTTTTTTTTGTTGTTTTAGAACAGTCTGTATACCCCTGAAACAAAATATGACCAAGACCTGCATATGACTTGTTATTTGACGAAACAGTTGAGCACAATATTAGTCCTGAAAAAGTATTCCAGATTAGTTAAAATTTTCAGAAGGTTTAACAAATAGAAAGCACTTCCTACTCTGCTGCACTGTTAATCCATATGCATGGATCTTCAGAATAATGTCTAGACATCTGAGACAAAACTCATCCCTGCCTATGGCAGGGGTGTTGGAATTAGATGATCTTTGAGGTCCCTTCCATCCTATTCCATCCTATGAAATTTGAACCTTAACTATTACATGCATTGCTCTCTAAAGATATTATGACATCAGTATGCTTACATGAAATACGAATGTCAATGCAAAATACCTAACTTAAGCAGTGCTACATAGCATAGATTTCTACAAATTTCATTTCAAAATATAATTGACATATACTTCTCTTTAGACAGATTTTGAAAGTGTTTTGCTTGCACACCAACGAGCTCTCCCAAATCCAACATGATAATTTAATTCCTAAATCCGCCAGCAAGGTTTAAAAAAAAAAAAAAGAAAAGGAAAATATGAAAAAACAAGATCTTGAAGGCCTCCAAAAATAGAGTTTGAAAGTGTTAAGTGACACTGTCCTTCTGAAGTTCCTCAAAAGATTTTCCTGTCTTCCTTAAATACAAAGGAAGAAAAAACTCTTAGCCATATATTTTAGGAGGATTGTTTCAGTAGACATCTGAGAATGTAAACACTGTAGCTAGTGAGACTGAATTTCAACCTATACAAATAGATTTTTCTTTTGTTTTTATTCAAAGACGGTCATGCATGGTAATAAACTATTCCAAGACCAAGATCTTCTGAATCTTTCTGAAGATGAGTTAGTCAGTCCATGTAAGAGTCACTATAAAAGGAATCTACTTCTAGATGATGTCTAGACCAAGAAGAAAGGCTGCAATACTATAAGCAAATACAGATAAACTGATTTTTGCTTTCAGCACCGAGGAAGACCATCAATATTGTAATATCAGATATGATGCTTCATATAAAAAAAATAAGCTGAACTAGTAGAAAAACATGACGTTAGGAAAACTTCCTTTAGAAAAGCTGAACTACAGAAGTTATTTCCAAGTCCTTCAGGAAAAGCAGACAAAAAGAAAGATAAATAACCCTTCATCTGCTTTGAGCAGATAACAGGTATTCTTTAGCTCATGAATCATAGTTTGTTTCTAGTGTTGCAGACTGGTAGAGATGGAAGTCAGAGATGAGTGTAAGACTTACTTCTTCTCAACAGTATTTTTCTGTTTGCACTTCCACCTCACAATTTGTAATTGGTTTGGATATTCCAGTTTAAGACACTTCCGTGGAGATTCTAAGACAGAAGGTACCAATTTTCCATGAAAACAATGATGTGGCTATCATATTTCTTATTAGGACAGCCAAATACAGCATCTGGATTCTCCCCTCCTCCCCCACCATCAAGAAAAGTTCATTTACTTTTATATTTGAGAGGAAAACATTTTTTGAATAGCAGAGCAAACAATCTTTAGACAAAGATAGGCATGTGTGTTTGTACACATGGACATAGGTTCTGGCTTCTCAGGCAGAACTCCACAAGCAGAAAGTTCTTAAAAATGAATCACATCACAGAAAGAATAAAGCAATTAAAAGACAGAAGTATGAGACAAACAAATGTTTTCTTCATATTAAGTCATTGTTTTGGAGATGTGTATAGAGATTCCTATCCTGAAGTCTTTTTTAATATATTAAATATCAGACTAAGAAGTGAAAATAGTGGAAGAATTGAGGAAACCCATCATCAGTATTATCACTGGCCCACCAAGCTTCGCATCTAAGAGTCTGGAAAGTACATTAATATGAACTATCTTCATATATTTGCTAGCATTTGAACAAAAAGGATTCCGAAGCTCATCCAGATGACTGTTTATCAGATATTCTTTTAAAGGAAAGCTAACTACATGAAGCAACCAGAATAGTTTATGTGAACTATATTCTGCTAATCTTTTGAAAGAGTTGGAAAGAGTTATTACAACAGCATACTAAAAAGGAAACACCTTCTTAACATAGTAATAACCCAAAACTTTCACATAAGGTGTTGCTGAGGATTGTATTAAAGGATATAAAGATGTTACAGGGTGATGAAAAGTAGTCACACAAATCGAAATCTGAAAAGATGAATGCAAAGAGCAGAGATGAATGAATGGAAGATTTTTATCCTGAAAAGTTTTATCCTGATTTTTATCCATTGAAGTATCAGGTTCACGATCTCCTTTCTTAGACAGTACTTAATATAAAATTTGTAAATTGAAAAAAAGGATGGGGGGAGGTTACAGAGGACGTTAGGATAAGGCTATAAGAATCTTCAAGGGAATTAAAAAATTATGCCTATGCAAAACTGACAATATGAAGAAAACTGAAGATTGTTAAATGTGAGCTAATACACAGAATTCTAGAACATCCACCAGATCTAGAAAATAATTTTGATCTGTCCACTGTGTGCATCTGTCTGAAAGCTGAAAATATATTATGATGCAAGAAAAACAGTAAACTTGTCCAAGTATTTTCAGTGTCACTACAAAAATGAGAAGCATCACCTAAGACAGCATTAGGGCTGAAAACTTTAATACTGATAAAAATCTGGAAAAACTAACAATGGATGGAATTAGAAATAATATTCACTAACTACTAGGTACTACAGGAACCTACTACTACAGGCTCATTCTTAAGCTTTTCTCTTAAATCATCTCATCTACTCTCTACAGTAAGATAATGCTTTTTACAGATCTCTGATCCAGTCAGATACTTGTATATATTGTGAATTTTGTATGGGTAAAGCTTCCTGGCACATTACTAAGAGACCTCAAAAGCTTCTGAGGCCTACCAACACTCCATTTTCTTCATTGCTCAAAGCTTCCTCTCTGCTGTCAATGGTATGGTGCTCTGGGAACCGGCAAAACCAATCTACACTGGGAATGACAATAAAATGTGTCACTATTATCTCCAGCTGCTGGCAAGAAGAAACTATGATCAGGTACCTGGAGTAAAAAAAGAATGAGTTCCAAAAAACAGACCTTTTAACTCAAAAATAATTGCAATTACTGCAGACTAGTATATCAGAAAAGTATAGACTACAACTGTTTTTAGTTTGGTTAAATTGTCCATCAAGGTTACTGACTCCAAAACCCAGAACTTCATATGAAAATTGTAATTCTTCTTGAAATCACTGATAGTGTAATGCTTTGAAGTTAACAATTCATACTCTAAATAAAGAAACTTGCACACTGTTTCCTGCATCCAAATAGCTGTTCTCATCTTCAAAGAAAAACAAGTTTATTCTGTACTACAAGATTTGTATATGAAAATCTAGGATGTTAAGAAAATCAGAAGAGCGAATTATAAAATTATACATTATTTCCAAAGGAATATAAATATATATATATATATATATATACATACACACACACACTTAGCCTAACTCAAGGTCGCTTCCTAAAATAATTTAAAAATTCAGCACTTGCAAATTTCTCAGAATAGATCTAAGCTATGTAGCAAAATAAACCACAAACAGAATATTGAAATATTAAAACATTAAATACTATTTTATTTTATTTTTCTACCAGCAAAGCTGAGCCTAAGGGCCAATTTACTTATGTCTTCACATAAGTTCTGGGAACAGTCATGTAGTTCTTTTGACTGTCAGAAATTGAGACAAAATATAGGAAAATTCCATTTGAAAGCATATACATCATGTTTTAGGAGAAAGGAAAGCAGTCCCACAAATCAAACACACGCAGAAACTAACAAAAAGTTTATCTTTAAATCTTAGTTCTACTACATTAATAGTATGCTCCAAATTGTATGAAAAATGTTCTCTTAAACAAGTCCTTTCTGCTAGTACTAAGATGTTTTATTTCTTTACATTTCTGAGAAAACGTAATAGAGAAATCTACACTTTCATTTGGACTTTTTTTCCCCCCTCGTTCTGAAAGCGTATAATGTATTTCTGATTTTACTCATTAAAGTATTTGCAAGGCATACATTTGCATTATGACATTTTAAACATACTGGAAATACAAATTTCTAGTTTCAAAAGTACAAATAAAATTGATTTAATTGTACCTAGAACAATGAAAGTACCCTACTATTACCAAAGTACCTTAAGTATTATTCTAGCGTTCCTTATTACTTACCATATTATGATGCTGTCATACGTAAAACCTAGCTTTTCTTCTGCATGGCCAGTATTACAAAGAAGCTGAAAATAAAAGAAGGAATCTATTATTAATAACTCTTTAACAATTACTATTTAAAACCTAAGATATTTGGTAATGTTTCTGAAGTAACACAAGGAATTTCATTCATTGCAAGGGGAGGGAAGTGTACCAACTTCAGATTTCCCTGAAAAATTTTACTGACAGATTCAGTTCCTGCATACATACCAGACACACAAGCCTTTGGCCTCTCTTAGTAGATAGGCAGTTGTGCAAGTTCCTAAATTGCCTACTAGTCAATTTTTCAACTATTTTCACAAGCTATGCTTCAGATTGCTCTTTTTGCTGCCTTTAGACTCTTTTTGGAAAAAGCACTGGTTAGGCAATTGGTAGCCTCAGCAGATAAAGGAGACTAAAGTCAAAGCACATAAAACACTTGCATTCAAAAATACAATTTGGGTGACAATTTTGAAGTAAAGCTAGACACTGACGGTCCACTGCCATGTTTCATTCACCACAGCAGCAGAGGCATAGAAAAAAACTGAGAAGTAGTTGCAAATGGTAAGGGTCCCATAGCTGCCATTTACCATGAGAGGTTACCATGAGAGGTTACCCTAACCTCTCATCCATTCCACAGGATTTTTTTTTTGGTACTTCTGAAAAAATCATTGCAAAGTTTGAGTTTATACCCATAAGCTATACCAATTTCTGAACACTTCAGCCTCATCTGTCAGTTTTGAGCACAAAACTGCAGACTTACAAGTGCTTTTTTTTTTTTTTTTTTTTTTTTTTTTTTAAGTCCACGGCCAATTTCAAAAGGAGCAATCTACTGCTTGCCATGTTTTAACCTCTCAAGAAAAGAACAATAGTCTCTTCTTTAAGAAGTACTGGTATTGTTCTCTTTTACAATGGTGGCAAAGATCCTAGTCTTCTCATTTACCTAAAATAATAAAATAATTTAGTATTAGATCCAAATGCCAAAGTACTTGGACAAAGCACTTCCAAGAACTCAAGTGACTGATTGCAACAGATTTGCATTATGTCCTCTCCTTTGGAAATAGGTACGCATTCAAATCTAAGCCACCGCAGTATCAACAGTTTGTCCTCAGTGAGAAGCTCAGTGTTTGTACAACTAGTGAATACTACTGGTCTGAAGTTAATAACATTTATCAAACACTATGCTCATTTATTATTAAACCCATTTGATTAGCATGATGGTTCAAATTCAAACTGCATTTTGGTTTATGCTCAATCAGAACAAATTCTTCCAAAGATGACATTTTAGGAAATTCTTTTTTATACTGATTATGCTGAAATCAAAAGTTATCAGTGAAAGATTATTTGAGCCAAATATGGAGATGATCCAGGCCAATCCAATAATCTAGAATTAACTGAAATATTTTTGATTTTCCATTTTTCTTAGCAGTGGCTATACACAGAGAAAATTATAAAACAAAGAAAGTTATTACATAACCCATTTTACCTGAGAACCACACAAGTTGGAAGAGATCTCCCACATCATCAAGTCCAACTGTTAAAACTAGCACTCACTGCCAAGTCTACCAATAAACCATGTCCCTAAGCACCACATCTACATGTCTTTTCAATACCTCCAGGTATAGCAACACAACTACTTCCCCAGCGGCCTGTTCCAGTGCCTCCCAAGCCTTTCAATTAAGACTTTTTTTCTTCTTCAAATATCCAAAACTCCCCTGGTGCAACTTGAGGCCTTTTCTCTCGTCCTGTTACTTGCTGCTTGGGAAAAGAGACCGATCCCCATCCTGCTACAGCCTCCTTTGAGTTAGTTGTAGAGAGTGAGCCTGAGCCTCCTGTCCTCCAGGACAAACAACTCCAGTTCCCTCAGCCACTCCTCGTAAGACTTGTTCTCTAGACCCTTCACCAGCTTCATTGCCCTTCTCTGGGCACACTCCAGCACCTCGGTGTCCCTCCTGTAACGAGGGGCCCAAAACTGAACTCAGTGCTCGAGGTGCGGCCTCACCAGAGCCAAGTACATGGGGACGATCACTTCCCAAGTCCTGCTGACCACACTATTTCTGATCCAAACTAGGATGCTGTTGGCCTTCTTGGCCACCTGAGCACACTGCTGGCTCATAGTCAGTCAGTTATTGACCAATACCTTCACCTCCCTTTCCGCCGGGCAGCTTCCCAGCCAAAATGAAACTAGGCAATCATGTGCATTAACTAGTCATGACAATATGTCATATCCTACAATCAGTCTATTTTTGCCATGTTGTTGGTCTGCCTAAGGCCACCACTGCTGCTTTAGCATTTCTATTGACATCTTATGAACTGTAAAAATTGGCTGGCAGAGTGTAAGCAAAATAGTGTGAGAAGACAGCGAGTAAAAACACTTTTGTTCAGTTTCAGACAGGCTCATCAACAGTTGTTTAGGCTTGTCATTTATACATCTAACCTCACCCCATCATTCTATCCCAGAGAGAAATGAGAAATCCTAATTTAACATACAGCAGACTATCTTTTTCCTACCAGAACAGCCTTTTTCCTACTTCAAAAGGATTAAAAAGGAATTGTAATTCTGATGTGGAGTTTCTTTTCTGAGGAAATAAAAGATAAGCAATACACTTTACAAGGTAGTTGCAGTTTAGCAACAGCTGAATGTACGTGCAACTCTTTCAAACCCAAAGCACAAAAACAAGTCTTTCTAATATGACACTTAATTTCAGCTATACAACTGCAGAAAAATTCTGCATTATTTATTTGTAAATAGACAAGAGAAGTAGCCTTTAATTAAGGGAAGTCAGAAGACTGCTTAGCAAGGAGATGGAAATGCTTTAGGGCAACCAGTCCCACAGACACCAACATATCAAGGGGATAAGGAGTAGAGAAGTCATTCAGTTTTGTTAGCAGCAGTCTGAAACTCTTCCCTAACTTGTGTATATGAATACACATTGGTAGTAAACTGAATTGAATACACTGGTGGTAAACTACCACCTAAACAGATATTAACTAAAAATGTAAAAGGTATTTACCCCTTACAGACACTGTCAATATGCTTTATACTGTGAGGAATATTAAGCCCATCATTGCTCAAAATTGAACAAAATCAAAACCTTGCTTTTGCAGAATAAGTTATAAGTAGATGCAATGATATGGAAAATTCTGTTTAAGTTTACATAGGAAAGTAAGTACATTGCCAATATTTGTTTCCCGCCCTTACTCAAGAGACATTCTTTGCTAGATTTATTTAAACAGTACATTAAGCAGAACTCTTAAAAACAAAGATGCTCATCTTCTCATTTTAGCTTAGTCCTTCCAAGAAAATCCAATTTTATTTATATTCCCTACTGCATCATTTTCCCACCCACCATTAATTCTTCACTAATTTCGTTAACTCTAACAGCACTTATGGATAGATAGAAACCTCATGTAACTTGTTCATTGTACCTATCATGTGTTTTCCTTTGTCTACCCGCACCAATGTTTTCAACTTGCCAAAGTTATGTACCTTTTTGTACCTGCTAATGGCTCTGTCCCACTAAGTCCAAAACAATGGCATGAAAATAAATGTACTTTATGCTTATTGTAATAGTTCCATGGATCAGTCTCAAAACACGCCCCTACTGACACACGCTCCTGTTTAACTTGCAAAAGAGAACTATCATTACAAAATGCAGAGGTTTTACCCAGAAAGCAATTGGCAAGATGAAACGTGACAAATCACTGGTCCTGATAAAAGACTGTCATTACAGGTACTCTCATGCCTTTCAAAGGAACAAGATCTTTTTTATCCTTTCATTAACTTAAAGAGATGCTGCAGCTGCCATGCACACAACAGTAGCTTGTGGACAAAGGTCAGATTCTGAAGTGCCACTACATTGCCCCTACCATCTGGAACACAAGCACACATCTGAGGCAACTCTGTCACTGCACTTACCACACATTTTGTTTTTTTCAGTGGTCCCAAAATGAAACTAAAGCAGATGTGTTCCAGGAACACACCTAGCCTGCTGCAACTGCTAAAGGGCATTCAGTTCTCAGGGCTGGACTAGAAGTAGTCCAAAGTAACCATTCTTTACCAACTGCATGCAGCGTTAGCATTACCTCTTCAGTACCAACTGTTTTTCTTTATGTGAGTACTCCCACCAAGCACAACTCTGTTAACAGAGAGATACACCTGATCTTATCTTGAAGTTCAGTCATGAAACCTAATTGTATTTTGGAAGTTTCCTCAAGTTTAATTGCTGTGGGGATACAAATATCTGAATTCAGTAATTGCCAAAACGTGATAGTGTTTACATGTACATGTATGTGGAGCATCGCCCACAGAGAATGAACACAAAACTGGCTGAGAAAAATACAAGACTAGCTACTGGCTGTTTATTCACATTCTAACGGGCCAGATACTTAAGTATTGACTGTCCTTAGAACTTACATAATGCAGTGTGTTTACAGGATTTCCAGCTAGAGAACGATTTAAAAGATGGACAGCAAGATCAGAATTCAACGTCTTACAGTGATTTGGAGTGCCCAAAATAGGTAATAAAATTCAATTAAAGGGAACAGTGTATCATGTCAAGTTAACACATTAAGAGTCATAGAAAAACTAAAAGGAGCCCAGCAGAAAAATACAAGCTGTCCAGAAAGCCTTCAGAATGTCAAATACAGTAACAATTCTGAAAGTAAAGCAAGATCTGAGTTACAGCAACCTATAAACTACATGAGTTAATGTGATGTCATCTCCAAAAAGTAATTTTACCACTGGAAATAATAATAGGATTGCATTATGTATGAGATTAAGAGATTTTTCTACTCAGGATACTCTTAAAATGCCGTGCCCCAAATCGTGTTTTAAGACCAGACAAACTGGAAAAAGTACAGCAACAAAATATACAAGGCAGGCAGAAAATACACCCATGAAGGCTGAGCAACTGGGTTTATTTAGTCTATTAAAAAAGAAAACTGGCAAAAGTAAGGCTGGATTGATATATGCTTAAAGGCAATAAAGTCATGGAAGCTGCTATAAAGAAGATACTGTTCAGTTGGTCTTCATACTTTAGATATT